GGCTTCGAAAATGGGCAAAATTCGGATGGGTTAAAAAAAATGGATTTTTTTAGCCCGTTTTTTAGAGCATTTCCGGAGGAGTTTTTTGTCATATAAAACGTTTAAAAAAGTCGAAGGTAAACCGGCTACGTATTTTCAAAGTCTTTTGTATTTGTGATAAGTCAGGATTGTCATCTTGATAAATCACAAATAAAGTATTGGTGTATATAAAAAATGAAGAAATAGTTTTGACGTAATACATACTTATTTTCTATAATTATCTGTGTTTCGCCTATCGAAAATTTGCTTAATCGACGTTATACTGTGCTCGCAATTCGATGTGTTGATCGAAATCGATCGGAACTCTGGACTTGTTGCCCTTTAACGAATCTGCACCACTTGTCTTCTCAGCGACCAGCATAGACGGCCGCATTAATCGAGTGGCCAACGGCGCGTCGCTTGACATTTACAGGGAAATTAAAAATACGCGACAACCGGTCGATACTGCCTCTTGGACAAGAATATCTGAAGTTGTCTCTTCTTCCCGCTATCGACCGGTGAAAGTAATTCACCTCGCCATTTTCGTGTCCGATTCTCGTCTTGTCCACCGAAATTGACGCACAGACCGACGCCGCTTATCCGACTTCCGGCGCGGAGGAGCCGAGGCAGAGCCGGAGAGAAACGCGTGACCGGAAACCGCCGGCGATAGAGAAGAACGTGGCGATTTCACGATAGCTTGCTCGCCGACTGTCGTGCTGGAAATGATCGCGTTACGATAGCACGATGGGAAATCATTTCTGCCAGTCAGTATGCTATTCCGCATCTAGGTTATTAGGCACGTCAACCGTCTTTATTGCCAGCTGCATTCGCGCGATCGCGTGATTCCGCTTTGGCCGTGACGTGCACGCGTGTGTGTATACAGGGTGTGATGGAAACGCATTTTCCACCGGTCTTCCAGCAGCAATTCATTCAGGACTGCTTCACTTGAAATCCCGTGATTTTTCGGAGTATTTTAGGTTCCTCTGAAAAAAGTAGCGAATTAGGAAATTCGAAAAAAGTTGCAAAATTTTCGAAGAATTATTAAGTAGAAAGATAAAAAGGAGAAATAATTATTAATTACGGAAATAGATTTTTATTAATTTTATTTAGTCACACTGTACACTATAATTTAATTAATTTCTAAATAGTGGATACATTTTAAGTGGTATAAAATCGAAGAATTTCGGAAATTTTTGCTTACTTGGATGACATAAATGCGCAATGGTTATCTGAAATTAAATACGTTTTTAATGCCTAATTTTTCGTAATTAAATCGTAACACAAGGGATTGATGTTTATCACGCAGTTTATGGTGAATGATACCGAATTATGGCGATGTGGATGAATTTTTTAAATCTAAAATGCGTTGATGCTGTAACTGGCATGAGTTTTGTTTCTGCGCACCCTGTATATACCTACGCGCCAAGAAAATGACCGCGATAAAGCTGCGGTTTTGTTGGTTTCCCCTAATTGTAATAGGTATGAGAGCTTGAAGTAAATTAAATCGCGGGTTTAGTGTCAGATTGTGCAAATGAAAGGCTAAGAGCACTGTGAAGAAGATCGAGTTAATTTCACTTATAAATATCAGTGATTCAAGGAGAATTTCTCATAAAAATATTAATCTCGAATTCTATTGCGACGAATATCTTTCTCGGAATATTAAAATTCGTTATACTTAGTCTGAAGCACTTTGCATATTTGCATTGCATTTAGCACTAGAATTACCGACTCGTGATGTGTACTCGAGCACTGTACACACGGATGACAGTAGTCGCATTGTCGTAAAGGAAATATTTACGTTCACGCAATTGCATTTTCACTTCAATAAAAATCAAAATTAATTTCCTCGAAAGCAACTTCGTATTTCGAGAATTTGAAAAATATTCTTCAAAATGTCCTGCTAAATTTATTTTATAGAAAAGTTTCATTTATTACGCTCTATAATGAATGATCTCTGTGTGTGTTATAGATAACAAAGACTGACACACGTAAACCATCTGTGCGCAGATTGGGACCTCCTAAGGAATTCATCAACGTTTGCCTCGAGACGCACAATTTGTACCGCACGAGGCATGGAGTGCCTCCACTTCGTCTCAATAAACAGGTAATTTTATTTCCACGACACTGTTAAATAAATTTAATAAATCGAATATTATATATTCAACGGGGTATAAAATATTTAAAAATATTTGACTTCCCTCGAATTGATTTACATTTTAATATTTTCCTCTAAAACCTTTTTTCAGCTATGTAAAACAAGCCAAGACTGGGCCAACATACTAGCGGCTAGGGGTAGATTAGAACACAGGGCGAACATAGACTACGGCGAAAATTTGTACTGCATGTGGAGCTCCAATCCGAAGACTATTGTGGGCGGTGATGAGCCTGTAAACGAATGGTAAACGATTTAACCATCTTCTATACTTGTTTATATAAGGTGTATACAATATTACTATATTTTAGATATTTTTCAATGTATATTCACCTTTGTATTATCGTTCACTAACACGTTCTTGTCTACAGGTATGCCGAGGAAGCACAGCATCAATACGGAAAGGAGCCCACCACCCTAAAAACTGGTCACTTCACTCAGGTCGTGTGGAGAGACAGCACGGAGTTAGGTGTTGGAATGGCCAGGAATCGTAACGGCGAAGTTTATGTCGTCTGTAATTATAATCCAGCTGGAAACTACCTAGGCAGTTTCACGCAGAATGTTTTACCACCCGGAGGCTCGAGTCCTAGCAAAAAGATCAGCTTCTTAGATCCTAAGCCACATTACACGTTAGATGAACAATCATGGCAACAAGAGGCTTTGCTCGTTCATAACGAGTACAGAAGGAGACACCGTGTACCCGACTTGAGGTTGAGCTCGGAACTAACCTCTGCTGCTAAGGTATATTTCCTGTATTTTTCATGCAATTGGATTGGGTGTAATTATCTTGAGAATAAATGAAAGACCGATGAGGTTAATATCGTCTAAGATGTAAAAATCCATGGAGTATTCCATTTGGAAAATAAGTTTGTCACTTTACAAATACAAATTAATGACACTTATCGTTTCTATAATTGCAATTTGTCTCGAGGCCTGCAATCGTGACTTGGCTAGTTTGCAATTGACCGTGGACGCGCGGGCACAAGAGTAACGCTCGATTACAAATTTTTTCCACTATCTTCAGGCGTGGGCGAACACGTTGCTGAACACGAACAAGCTGATTCCGCAGTCGACGTCTCCGTACGGGGAGAATATCTACTCGATGCAATGTTCCGATCCTAAGTTGATCGTACCGGCACGGGAAGTTGTTTCGAAGTGGTATTCGGAGAAGAAGGATCACAAGTATGGCACAGAGCCAAAGGTCTTAAATACATGTACGTAACACTACGTAATGTACGTAAATGATACTGTTGTTGGAGAAAACTAGTTGAAAATGTAAACTAGCAAGTGTTATATATCTACCTTTTGCTATTCAACGTTTACTACTTTAAGAAAATGTTTGCCATGATGTGATTATCTGTCTCAAATAATCATACGTCGAAGAAATTCAAAAGTAATGCTATATGAAAATACATTCTTGATTACTGCTTCAATGGCAGTATTCAATTTTTACTTTTAGAAAGAAAGAACTTTTTATGGTTCTGATATGAAGATTTCCTACTGACCATTTTCTTTTTTTTTTTCATTCATTAATCATCGATCACGATATCAAATATATGTGAAGAGATTAGAGTTATTAATAATGATCCTTTTTTTTTTAGGCCATTTCACACAGATCATTTGGAAGAACACCACCGAGATGGGTATAGCGATGGCCAAAAGAGACGGAACCTGCGTGGTAGTAGCATGTTACCATCCGAGGGGTAACATCGTTGGTCAGTTCACGGAGAATGTGTTGAAACCCGCGAAAACTCACTAGATAGTCCATTAGACGGATTTATCCATACCTGTCGATAATGTATTTAAACGCTGTATTTATAATATCATGCATAGCGACAATACGCATAATATATGTATATATAGCAACACAGATGTGCATACACGTAGAATAAAAGAAAACATTCCACGAACTACACGTAATCGAATCATGTCGTCTGTTTTATTAATCGTCGATAACGTGACACGGTATCGTGTTGAATCCTTAGCGATGACGATCACAAAACGTGTATGTGTGCGTTTAATCTTTGAGAACCGGCTTCCTCTTGTTAATACTAATTTTTTTCACTGATGTTTGAATTATGGAATTTTGAAAAAAGATCAAATTTTATAAAAATTTTGTTTCATGAAATTTAGAAATGTTTTTGCTTCGTAGAGGAATGAAATGTTAATTTGGTGTGAAGATTTTTGTCAATTTCCCAATGTAAATTTTGTGTTCATTTACGTACATAACGAGATGGAAACTAATTTTTCTTTTTTCATTTTTTAAATGCCGGTAGTCAAAGAATCTTGTAATGAGATAGCGACAAGTAATTTCTTACGGATAAATAGTATTAATGGAAAAGAAATTGTCAGCGACTGATCGTTCCTTCGCTCTTTACCTCAAAAACACGAAGCGAGACACACTTGCAAATTTTCTGACAATACGACTACGGGTAGAGTGTAGAATCGAATCGAAGATCATTTAAGAAGGCGTATTCATTACATGTATATTTTCTTTCTATTTTAGAGGAACGAAATAAACTATTCAATGACTAATCATTCAATATCGATGTCGATTAACATAGAACATTTATATGACAAGTTACCAAATAAATTTCGAGTACACACATTCCTAAAAAGAAGAGAAAGAAACATGAACATTTGTAACATCATTTCTCGCTCGATTTACGTTACTCTGAATCACGAAATTTATGGAATTGTACATGTTCACGGAATAAAGTATGACGTTAACGTACCAGAATAAAAGGGTGTTGCTGCTTTATAATAATTTATTTATAATAAATTTACATGCACGCGTTGCGTGACAACATGTCACGTGGTATATATATATACATATATATATATGTATATATATATATATAGATATAGATACATTCTCTCTCTGTTTTTCTGCTTTTATTTTACATTACATACAGCCGTTCGTAGTTCCTTTCGTGGTCAGGGATTAATTTTTAATTCTTACACTGTGGGAACGAGCTCGACGACACTGAAACGCCGGGCCCTCGAGATTCGTTCGTCGGGCTCCATGTTCCCGTTTCGACTTCGACTGAAACGAAAATATTTTTCACCGGGACTTCGGTGCTCTGACATCGATCGGAAAAGGGAACATGTACTTTCACCTTACTCGCGAAACATCGAATGAAAATTCTCTTTCTGTATTTTTTAGCGATTTTGTACAGTTTGGGTCTTGCTTTCTTAATTAATTGACAAAACGACAGCGTTGTGATGAAATTCTGGAACACGAGGATATAAATAAATCGGAATCTTACGAGGCAGAACTCGTATAAATATGAAGAATTTAATTTTGCTCTTGGATTGAATCGATATTTTCTGCAAATTATAATCTGTAGGAAATCATGTTTAGGATCGAAACTTAATCTTACGAGGACTAGTTGTCAATTTAACTATAAAAATCACTTTAATTTCAATATTTGATAAACGATGAACTTGTAAATTATATCCACCAATGCTTTTTAATTAATATTCTCTTTTGGTAAGAATAAAAATAGAAAACCTGTAGCATAAAAGAGACAACTTCTCTATAGAATCACTGCAACGTATCTCGGTGATAATCACACCGAATCGCGAGGTGAAAAATGCACCCAACGAAAAAATCCTTTAACACAATATTCATTAGACACGTAAAAATTCCACATATAATTCTACAATTAATTCCAATGAACGCTGCCCGCGCGATTTATCTTCATCGAGCTTACAAACAAGTAGAGGATGAAACTCAACGCAATGTCCATCGAAAATCAATTTATCTCGTATATTTACTATTTAAACACACTCTGTTTCGTTCACGTAAAGCAATGGTTTGTTAAACTGCGTGTTATGTCACCGAAAAAGGTATGAAAAAGAAAAATAAAGAAAATGAAACAGCAGAACGAGATAACTTATCGTTTCGATATTGCACACTCGGCAGTTTACTTCATAACCTAATCTGCAGAACCCTTGCGATCGACTGATGATCGAGAAGGAACTTGCGAAGGAGTTATCGACCGAGGATTCACGCGGCAATAAATCAAAATGTTCATTGGTTTTTCCTATGAAGACACAACGATACTTTTCTCTGATATATACTCGTCTGAAGTTTCTTAATATTACCGTAATATTAATCTCCATTGTTAACATAGTGACATATCCGCGACACGTTCGCGTTTCTTTATTCTTTAAATTTATGCTAACGTTTATTTTCCAAATCGATAATTCTCTGATATTTCTTTCCTTTCTTCTTTCTTATTTCTTTTTTTTTCCATTTATGTTCGTTAATAGAAAACTTCACTCTCTCGTTCGCGGATACCAGAGTTTCACGGTTACACGTCGTTGATAATGTTTATACAAATGTTAACGGAGTCGTGGACAATCGCTTTCTTATGTCAGACTTGACTAGGATATTTCACATACACTCGAAACAGTTTACTTTCACATCGCTTTTGGTTGAACGACAATGCATAGTTAATAACGCTACTCGCTTTAGTTTCAGGTCACATTGGTTTTCGATCGATTCTATGACAATTAAACTATGTACACTGTTAGAACAATGTCCCTGTGTTAATACTTCCTACGATTTCGATTACTTTTTTCTTTTTTATTTATTTATTTAGCTATCTCTTGATGCTTTCATTGATCTTCCTTTTTTTTGTTTTCCTTTCGATTGTTAAATCGGTAGAGATACAGTGTGGAAACCATTTAGTATCGAAAAATACAAGATTTGTATTGACCTCGCTAGATTTTGCGAGAACGGCGTCGAAATTTTTGTAATCTTTTGTATTTAATCGTGTCCCTATATTAGACATAATTGTTTCGCAATTTTGTTTTGCTTACTTGGAGGCTATTCAGCTTTTATTTAATCCTCTATAATCGAAATAAAAAATTTATTGATTTGGCTCCTAATGAAATTTGTTATAAATGAAACTTGATTGTCAAAATTACAAAAAATTGGGCACCAGTATTAACCAATTACGAAATCTGAAAGTAGAAACTATAACTTTCTATATTCTGAGCTACTTAAAAATAATAGGTCATGTCTTACATATTCAGGGATATTAAATTTCGAAACTTAATATAAGTATTGCATTATAGAGAATTAAATAGAAGCTCGCAACACACAATTATTTATCTTACAGTCTTACTATCTTATATATTTCAATTTCCATCGATGTTCTTAAACTTTCAAGTTTACATTTCCACTCATTTAATTTACACATCGATCGCATTTCTCCAATGTTCTAAATATTCTTTGACCTTCAACGTCTATATGTTCATCGAATTTCTTTTTCAGGATTAAGCCACAGCGTTCGCCGGTTTTTAGGATCTTTTTCATTTCGTCGATAGTAGAAAATCATCGTTACCCCTGATAAATCACCACGGCTGCTTTTCAATTCTATGTACAAAACTCTACGAACCATCAGCGTCAACGAAGATGATCAACGTTCGTAGACGGGACGGGTTTCGTTACGCTAATCAACGTGAGAAAGACAGAGAGTTAATGAGAGACAGAAAGTTAAAGAGGCGGAAAAAGGGGTCGAAGAAATATTCGAAGAGAGTGTAAAATGTTTGCGGATTCGGATCAGCGACTGGTTGCTAAGGAAAATTCATTTGCATTCTCGGTTAAATAGAGTAACGAGCAATGTAAATTATACAGACTGATTTCATTATACGATACAATGAAAATTGGAGACTCTCTTTGGTTTCGATTGGCCTTGTTCTAAATAACATCCCACGTGGGTCCTTTTGCACTAATTGGTTTTTTTCGACAATGATTTGAATCAGTGTCTGTTATAGCCAAGTTAGAGATCATTTCGTAAATCCTTTCTTATCCTAATTTAATTTGGTGGACTTGAGATTATATATACAACGTCTAAAATTAACGACAAGCATGTCTGTTAATATGAGAATAAAAATTTCTTCGTGTATCATCTTTGCAAATTTTTTATCATATTATAACTCTTTTTAATCTTTATAAAATAATATTATACTTTATAAAATAATATGGATATATTTAAATATTTAATATCATTAAATATAATAGAAATACTATTTGTTATGTTTAAACATTATATAATAATAGTAATATTATATTTAAATATTGTTATAATATCATATTTAATAATTTAAAAGACATCTCTGATACCGTGAGAAAATTGTGCAAAGGGACAGTGGATTGTTACAATAGATCATTCGTTTCTCTCCTACCACGTGCAAATAAATCAACCATCGCTTTCAATTGAACTCGACGACTATTGAGGCATTCGCCTCATCTGATTGGGCTATCACGACAAATATCTTTCCATGACCAACAACCAGAAAGTCAAGCTAATCCGATCGCTGATAACAGGATTACCAAACGGGCGTAGCGGAAGCAGCATCGAAGCAGGTACTCGACAAGGTGTCGTTTGGTCGGGAAAACGTGTAAATTGGTCGAGAAAATGATTGCAACTGGCTCGAAGCTCCGAGTCAAGAAATATACATACAATTAAGTCGTTCCTAACGACGCCTAACGTATTCACCTAACTGATTAAACGGATTGTCGAAACTTTTCTTTTTTTTCTCTAATTTTCCCTTATTACTTTTTCGTCTCTCTTGTCCCCTTTTCTATCGACAAGAACAAACAATTCGTTTGACTAAACATTATAAATTCGAAGAATGTCGATAAATGATTTTAACCAGGATTGCCTGTTTCGAACTAATTATAAGAGGAGAGGAAAAGAGTATGTTTGCATTGAAGTGAGCAACCTTCGAATCGCAGCTACATCCTCGACTGAACGATTATCTCTTTCGCGAACCTGGGATCGGGCTTATGGCCCTGAATAGACTTTTAAATCTAATCGATTTTGAAATCTCGATTTGGTCATTCTGACACTCGCTCGAAATTCTGTTCGTCTTCTCTATACATATAATAATGCTTCATTGATCGGTGTTTCTCTGTTCCTCGCATGATATGATTCAAATGGTCGTGTATTTATATTTATAATCATATTTATATCATATACTCTTGTCGTAAATTGGTTCTAGTATAAAATTATCTCACGTTCACCCCTCGAACGTGATTCTACGCAAGAATCGGAGTTTGCACTAGGGAGACATTTCTTTTCTCTTGCCTACTTCTGTTAGCTATCTCGAGAATGTGACGAAAGACAAGACTTTTCTTTATTATGAATTTAAGAATAATCTTTCTGGACAATTTATATACCTAAATTATTCCATATTGAATTCAATATGGATTTTTCTTTCTGGCTTCTTCGTTAATCACGTTATTCGAAATTAAATTAATCAGGCACAAATATAATAAAATCTCGAAGAATTATAATTATATATTTGATGAGGCCTAGGTTAGAACCAAACAGGAAGTAGATTCTAATATTCGATAAAATCTTAAAATGTGAAATAAGATCTTTGATCATTGTCCATCGTCACAGATTTCGTTTCTTTGCTCTAATAACTTCTCGATCGATTAATTGCGTCACTGGACCTCTGGCGCACTTTTACCACGAGTTTTATGATCTACCATATATTCATGATCGACTGAATTGCTAAAATCTCGAGCAGAATCACGGAGGTCAAGACGCCAGAGTCGACTAGAGAGCAAAACGTTTTAAGAACATAGCCTACTACGCACACCACAAGATATATTAACAAATATCTTCAAATAAACCTCGCAACAAATTAGGTTGTTGAAAACCTAATTGTGATCGCACTATCTACAAATATAGAATTAGTATTAAAACAGTATCGTAGCTTCGTTGAAACAACTATACGTCGGCTGAACTGGGCATTGTATAAACGAAATGATTAATCGAATAATCATTCAATTATAATTTTCATCGATTATATTTTTCTTATTAATACCGATTAAGTAATTTAAATCTGTAATACTTCTGGTATATATCTCCTTTTTCAAAACTTTTCATCATTCCTGATTGTGCAGATTCTCATCGACGAGTCTATGAAATTTAAAAAGCGATTGTCAGTTTTCAAAGTTGTTAAAGAAATTGTCACGAACGCTTTTTTAAATACATCGATAAATATTATGCTAATGCATCGAGTAGGATTAGTAAATATTTTTAAAGCGATGTAATCGATTAGATTGTCATAAACCAGAAGCATATTTATCAAACAAGAAGAAAAGATTAGAAAGTTCGTCAGAGATTATTAATAGGACACTTATCACTTAAAGCAAAGTCACTCGTTGAACCATATATTTGAACAATAATTCGTAACGATTACCTAAAATGTGTCACTTCTAAGTGGCGAATGCAGAATCTGCCCAGCTCCGCTCAGATGTACAAAATGAAGGATCAGCATTCTGGCGTATCACAGTCGCGACTCTACGTCGCCGCGTTTAGGTCCCCGATGGTTCGTGTGAACCATGACATCGCCGCTAAGCTAAACTCAAACTACCAAAGTAGAATGGAGTAAAAAATTTAACTAAGCTGTTCACTGTGTTCGTCCGAGTCCGGTCACAGCATTTTCATCTTCAATGTGTCACTGAAACACCTTGCTCTCCGGCCGTCTCACAATCCCACGATCATCGTCATCACCATTCAATCCCACCAAAATCATCGACAATCAGGATGCTGAGAATCAACATCCCACCTAGTGATCTTAACGTGTCATGTGGGAACGCTACAGCCATTTGTTTCGAACCACGCCGGAGAGCCTGCGTCCCCACATAAGGTTATATCATACGATTGTCCCTTGTATGTGTTGTGGATCCTGCGTAGTGCCTTGGATCTGAGGTGACTGTGATCCTAATGGACACTGAAGGCTAGGCGGATCGTACAGTCCACCTAGAGATCCACCTAAGCCAGGATCTAAGTTAGATCCGAGAGCAGCGGTTAACTCTGGCATAGAGGGCAGGCCAATGTCCAATATACCCGTGTTGCTGGCGAAACCTGTCTGAGAGCCCTCCTCAGGCGGAGTCACTTCCAAACCAATGGATCCATTCAGAGCTATTTTAATCGGGTTATGATTTGAAGGATGCGATAGAGCACCCAGACCTATGTCCTCTAAACTACTCTTTCTCCTACTTATTGTTAATCCTTGTCTCAACGAATTGCTACGTCTCAGCAGAATATCGTCGACCACTCTTAAAGAGTTGGAACGACCACGTAGTGTACCAGCCACTGTTGGACTGTCTGGTAAGGATAAGGAATTCGATTTTGTAGTACCCAATGGAGGAGCCCTTGGCAAACCGATTCCTGATCCTCGACGACTTCCTACTCCAGCGCCTGGTAGTCCAGCTGAGGCTACTGCTGCGCTCATCTGTGATACCAGTTGGGCTGAACAGAAGCTGATGTTACTTTTCCTCCTCGAATTGTGTCGTTCGAATGTTTTCTGCGCAGAGAACGGACTTGGCCGTACAAGGTACACGATGTCGCCTTCTTCGAGCTTCAGATCGCAGCTGGGGTTGATGATCACGTAGGATAGACTGTTTCGTTTCTCAGAGACATCGTCGTAGTCGGCTACTGGTAGATTCAGCGACTCCATTCGGGAACGAACCAGATTCGCTATTTCGGCTCTTTCGATCTGCTGGGCGTGGTTGTCTCTCGCTTCATCTCCGAGGCTCACGGAGTACTGTTTTGGAAAAAAATGAATGGATTTTAATTTTCAGTTATGAAAAGATATATTTATTTTTAACGTACGAGTAACACATTGTTAATGCTTTTCTGGGCAGACCCCTGATTGATAAATAAGTTCCTATATTTTTAGTATCAAATGACAATTGCGAATGATATACTACAAAATAATGTATTCGTAAAATAAAATTCAACGACAATTTTATCAATCACAGTCCATCCAACGTGGTCACAGTTAATCGTCAAGAACTCAAGTGTGAATCCTCTCAATGGTCTATCGAGAGAGCAATGTAGGCAGTGAAGACGAGCAGAGATTCTCGAGCGTTCAGGCCGGAAGCCACTGACTGCTTGGTACACTGGGCATGCGCTCTGCAATATGGCAGCGTGGTGACGAGCTTTCCAAACACCAACGAAAGGAGAACCAAGGCATGGAATAGAGCAATTGAGAAAGAAGTATGCGTGAGAAGAAACAGAGTGTGAGTCAGAGAAACAGAAATAGAGATGCGGCGTACGAGGATTATATAAAGAGGAAAAGTATGGGAACAATATACATATAGAGAAAGTCGATCGAGAGAATAAACGGCGACCAGACAACGTCGACTCTGTACTCACGGCTGAGGCACCCTTGTCGCGGGTGGCACAATTCGCAAGGCACGAAGCTGCCGCCGAATGACGCACCTTGTACGTCACGCCGACGCCGGCGTCGCTCTCCGCGTCTGAGTCGCCCTGCCAAAACGATAAGCAATTCTACCCTTACTAAGGATAGCCCACCGTTGTCGTCATTTCGCACGCACGCCGCTGCTCGATCGTGGTTTTCGTTTCATTTTATTGTACTTGATCAGTGGCTATTACTCTACGATTGCGCATGTTCATTGACGATTGTTTGCTGAGCTTCCTCCGTAGAAGCGGTGGTAGAGTGTACAGGATGCTTGTAAAGGAACCGAGAAATAAAGCTTGTGGATTTATGAACACTAATCAACTCGTAGCTGAAGAAATTGATTACAATGGACTTTTGAAAATGTTTAAAACATTTTTCTTTTCTAGATTTTCTTAGTTTTTCTAGGTACTTCAAATTGGAAGATCGCTTATTTCGTGATTACAACAAGTTTTTACGCAACATCCTGTACCTGTATTGAAATTTAAAAGTAAATTAAGAAGTTTCATATTAGAAGTATATAAATGTCAGTACTATAAATAAGATATTCTATAGTTTTATTCTTTTCTCTCCAAATGTTCACTGTAACCTGTAACGTATGCCTTGAGAATCCATTTATACAAATATTGCAAATTTCTTGAGATAAGTTACTACATAACGAACTAAAATGTTAAATGAAATGAATTATGAACTGACTAGTTCTATTGGAAAATTAAATTATCTACGAACTAAGATCTAATAATAGCAAATTGCTACATTTTCGAAGCATCGCAGATCACAGTGACCATTCAAACTCAATGATTATTTAGAAATAAACTAATACCACCTATTTGAATAACTATATTATACCACGTTTCGTATCCAAGAATTATCGTGTACTCACAGAAGCATACCAAAAGTTAATCATCGATTGGTCGATATAACGCGTTATCGACGGAAGAAGCGCTTCGGTTGACACTAATATATATATACGTGTATATATATATGTAATATTTCTAACACGATGCAGGTTCAAAGAAACGAACACGTTCAGGATCGAAGGACGTGCTATGAGCACCGTTTTAACAAGATGCAAAAGTCCTACACTCCTCTGATTCTCGTTGAAAGGGATCAAAAGTCTCTAAAAACGCTGTACGAGCTGACACCGGGATAGATACAGAGCAAGAGATAGAGCGGGAGTACAACCATGCGCTACTCACAGCCGCCATTCAAAAAGTTGTTTCCTGCCCTTACGAAAATGTATAGTACACGAACCAATCACTTATAATCATATTTGTCTATCAAGGAGGAATAATTGTCTACTCACGTGAGACGTGTCCGAAATCGTGGTGTCCTGCGTCCTGTAAATACCAATGGGAATCTCACACGTCGTTGAACAAAGCTTTTGATAGAGACGGCCGTAGGTTCTGATCCACATATCGTCCTTTGTGATTCTCATCTAAAAGTAAATAGTATAGTAACACTTAGGATTTAAGCTAATTTATTTTTGATATTGTTACAAGTATAACTTGAATATTAATTTCATAATATATTACTGTAAATATGTAATATTGTAATAAAGAATAAATAAAGATTAATTAGAATACTATGCTTACCGATGTTAAGATCAATTAGAATAATTGCTTACCGATGTCAGGAAACCGGATCCTGGCGCTTGATCTACACCCAATAGCAATCTCACAAACGTTATCATGTAATCCTTCACAAATGCTTGATAAAGAAGAGTATCCAGCATGGAGGCACTGAAGACACTGCCAGCCGCAAAAGGTAATCGAAACATATAGGATATGTGAGAACCTCTTTCCTTTTCTCTCTGTAAAGAAAATTAAAAAAATAGTCAGAAATTATGAAATTGTATTCATCAAATTGATTAATACTTTTGTCATTATATCGAATAAATTTATGTAAAAACATATTTAATTTAAATTTGAGTTATAGTATATGTGTATGTATATACATATTATATGTAGTATATGTTGAGGTACGAGCTAATTCAACGTACAAATTGCTTTTAGAATTTTGTTTGAGTGTTGTTAGAGGAAGGTCTCAAAGATGATTGCCTTTTCCACCAAGGAGAACAATCTTAGTCGTCCCGTACACATAGTATAATAAAATTTCCTTTATACGTATAAGGTAACAAAGTAAAGGTCAAGTATATGCGCTTATAAACTCAAGTATCGTTGTGAGAACATGAAGCAGTCTAAGAGAACTAATTCTACATAGCATTAGAAAATCAAGCGCTATTGAAAGTTTAGTTTCTTAATTAGGAAGTCTATAACAGTCGATATAGTATTAAAGTAAACTGAGTACACCAGAATGCACTTGAGTACAAAATGTTACTTTCATACTTGACGTCAAAATAACTTCAAAACATTCGTTTTCTATTTGCAATTATTTTTCTTTCCTTTCTCTTTATATAAAAATTTGTTAAATATATATTTTACTAATATTTCGCAAATGAACGTATATTATTATTTAATTTCACAATTAGTGAATTAATCATGGCTGAAAGATCAAAGTGAGTTATTAATTACAGATTTTTCGGACGCTTACGAAAATTAATATCAAATACAATAGGAAGAGGTACCTTTTCCATTTTGCTGAGATGAAGAGCGTACTTGTCGTGTGCTCTGAATTGCATGAAACGCATATTGCTAGACTGTGAGAGCTCCGTTATGCTTTTTATGCTTGGAAAGAATCTACAAATACATAAATAATGTTTTTAATAATGTATTAATTGCATAATACAATTCTAAATATATCAAAACGACGGAAGAAATTAAAGAAGAGGAATTAAATGATTCTATTTCTTCTACTTTTGTACATATAATTTCAATTTAAAACGTTACAGTTAGGATATTGATTACTAGTATTTAAATACATTTTTATATTTTCATTTATTTTAAGTATTGTATACGTGTTTTCCGTGCTTCGGGACGCGTGAAAAATTTTCAAGTACTTACTTGAACATCGTTTGAACCGCTACGATTGTATTACAGTCAGCCAAGGTATCTTCTTCCGCGGAATTGCTAAGTTCCTTGTTTACGACCACGACATTCTCCGCAAGAGTGATGCCGGCGCGAAGAAGATCGTCCAAACAGTCGATGGTTCCTCCCATCCAGTATACCAACGGAAAATAGGACACAGCGTCGAGGAACGCAATTTCCGGTTTTCGTTCCAGCAGAAGAATGATTGGATTCAGAGAAGTTTTTGATCTGTTAAAATCCATTAACATTATTTATATTAATTACATTAATGTTACAGTCTATATCTCATTGAACATTTTCGGAGCATATAAAAGACTTTTGTATAACCGTGAAAATTATTTTTGGGGGTACCTAAAATGAGCCCTTAAAGGAATTATGAAATTATAAATCCCATTGCTGGCGTAATCAGCTGCCAAGATTATGGTCTTATTCTGCCAATTATATTCTTTGGCGTTTCTGTAGCTGCAATGTTGGCACACCTACGAATCAAGAAGATTTAAATTATGATTTTGAAATTCAATAATCGCATTACAAGATACAATGTAAAATATTTTACCTGTGCAAGCTGAAGACAACAGAGCGGTTTCTTTTCTTTCAATAGGTAGCACAACGTCGGTGACACGCCTATGAAGGGTGAAACAGGTGGAAATCCCTTAACGATCCTACAACAATGTCAATACTGGATTAAATTGCTGCATAATTCATACAGCGGCATGCATAACATTTGACTCTGTAAGCGTGTGTGAGCTTTCAAATGCACGAGAAGAGCGTTTAACTATCTTGCTTCAAATTTTTTACCATAATAAAATAGAAAGCACAGGAACGGTAATAAACTATGGAATAAAGCTACTATTTTACGAATGTTTCTTGATATACCGACCTACTAATTATTTTATTTACTAAAATATATTAAAATTTTTTACAATATCTACATTTGAATACTACAGTCGTCAAGTTAAGATTGACCAATGTCCATAAGCACCTGGGACATTTTCTTGAATTATTTTAATAATTTTTCGTATGCAGATTGGAACAGAGAAAACATGTTCCTACAGGATTCATAATATCGAATGCAAACGTATCGTGCTGATTAGATTTTCGATGCAGTAGCAATTGTGGTATTGTACTGCGTGAATAGTGTCAAGCATGTGCGAATTTATAGAGTAGTAAAAATATGAGAAAAGATTTTAAATAAAGCTAGAGTAACAGTTATTTGACGATCGAATTACTTTCTAGACAGAAATTCTTCAAATTATTTCTCGAACGAATAATCCCCTTATTTTCAATTTAAATAATAAACTATTTAAGGCAACAGACTAATACAATAGGTTTTTAACCTATGTTACATGCACAGTGCAATGAGACTAAAATTGTCGCATAATCCTGCTATTCCTACCACATATATTCAACACAAATTGATTGTCATTTATTTATAGACGAAAGCGAATAACTAGTACCAGAATAGTTGAATCGTTGTCTATAAATATACGAAGATCATGCCTGTTCGAATTACCTATCTATAGACTATCCAACTATACGTCATGATGTGTCTTTACATGAAACAGATCTATAAGATCCAAATGCATTATATATAGGCAAATTAATTTATATACGTGGTTATCACGGCAAAAAGAAATTCCAAGAATAGGTGAACCGATCATGCTAGCTACACAACTCGCGTGTAAATAATACACGTCTAAAGAAATTATGCGAAATAACGTGTTTAAGACATCTAAAGAACAATTTGCATAGTAAAAGTATCGAATAACATATTTTCAGTATTTACTTTTCTTCGTAACTTTTAGCAAGATTTGCGAGAAGCATATATTAGTGATAAATAAAATTCTGGATAAAAATTGAGATCATGTAATGAAAAGTATTTTTGCGCTTTATGATACACGTAAACTATCGCAGATTGTTCGTACATATTCAAAGGGAATGCATAAATTGTCAACGTTTAAATGAAGGAGCGCTTGGTATCTGTATGTTTCTCATTTCTATGGGAATTTCATTTATTAAGGTCAATTCAGACAATGCAGAATAACCATATTCTAACTGTCCATTACGCGTTATTTCAATATCGCATTAATTTATATCACAGTAATAATGCAATATATAATTTACATATTTATTTATACCTAGTTACGTATAATTTGTAACATATAATTTACATATTACATTACTCCATTAATATTACATCGATAATACACTAATACCCCTGCGAATATCTCGATTTAATTTGAACCAAACTTTTATGAAAATTTTATCAGACATGTTTTACCAGAAAGTTGTTCGATTGCCGAAGAGAGCTATTTCGAAGATATAAATCAGTCGTATCGAACAAATTTGTTGCTTACTGAACGAGTACCTTTAAATTGATCAATCCAACGTGATGGAAAGTTCACCTCGGCCATGTTCAACATTTTCGTAAACTTCATTCACTTCGCAACCCCGCGTGTTTCATATCGGAGTACCGAACTTCAATTCGGTGCTGGTTCCGATGCAAACGATTCAACAAACCGAATGAAACGACGAACTTCGATGTAGGTGATTAAAGTTCGCCTCGATCAGTTAATAAATTCCGATGCTGCGTATCTACGCGACCCCTTTTATCAACTTCCGGCGCCCTTTTCTTTGCGTGTGCCTCGCAATCACGCGGCACTACTTCCGCTAAAATATGCATGCTGCGGAAACTGTCTCGCTAAATTAATATCACAGGAGCATGAACTAATTCACTTTTTTGACAAATTACCAGACCAGTTCTAGCTAAATAATTAATTACGATGTTTGTCCATTTGTTTCGTATGCGATAAGAGAGGGAACGTTCGGAGTAGTAGATTAAATTAAAATTCATAGGAATTAGAAGCAATTTCTTTTCTTCAAACTTTCACGAGCAACTTCTATTTTCACTGAACCTTCGACTATGGTATCTCGAAAAATATTATCTCTTATGGAAAAAGGGGGGTCTATTCTGCTTTTAGTTATAATAGATTATTTTAATTGTTTAATTATTTTATTATAATTGTTTTTGCGATTGTTTAGTCTGGAAGTGAGAAGAATCGAATGCAGGACGTTAAGATTATTGTTTCTGGTTCATATTCCAAGCGTTCCCTGCAAGAGGAGAGACGAGAGGACAGTTTATACAGAAGCGTAAAAAGTGAACTCACCCTTTGAAACTGCTGGGCAAAGGTCGTGCGTGAAGACGGCAGTGCATAAAGACGATGCAGGAAGGAAGACATCGAAAACATCCATGAGGACATATAGGGTGTCAGGCAGGACAGCATCGAGCAGCGATTCAATACCATCGACGGTCGATTAGTGTGGCACAGGCATCGAGAGACATTCAGACAGGACAGACCGACCATCAACGTAAACTTGCGTTTAATTGTATTTTAGGGTGGTGAATGACAGGCTGGCGTGACATCGACCTTTCGCGCTCGAAAACTTTTACCTTTTTTCGCCCTGTCTGTCTCTTGTCACCGTGACATTCGAACTTTTCGGATCGCACGACGTCGCTTGTTTCGGCATGGAAATTTCCTTGTTCGACAACAATTTTTTCGTGCGACCAAATTTTATTTCAAATTCGATGCTTTGTATCGAGTCGAAACTTTGTTTCAAAGGCTCCTTGTTAGGGAAATTCGACATGTAGAAGGTTAGATATTGCATTGGACAAGAGAGGAAAGGGAGAAAATTTGGTACTGTCGAAGATACTACGAAATTGTGAAATAAAGGATGTGGTAGGGCACGATCACGTCACGTCGAATAGACGATCACAGGAAGTAACATCTAAGGGTGCAGAAATAAGATGAGCACGGTGCAGAGTTTCTGCAGCGTAGCTGCGGAACTTAGTTTCTTGTAATAGATACTGGCTGATAAGGTCGCGCAGATGTTCATTTGCTTAATTGAATCAGGCTCATACGATCAATGTAAACAAAATTTCGAAAGTGAACATTTTATCAAGAGCGCGATCTCATAGTGTACCTTTGATACGTTTCCAAGAAAATACTGGCACTCCTTGATGGTAGACTCTGGTATAAATTTAGAACAAAAAATAATTTAAATAATCTCAGCCAGTATCATTTTCCTAAGACTAATACCGTAAAGATATAATGTACAATATTTAGAGTATAAAAACAGTGACAAACAAGGTACATTCATCGGATATGTATAGAAGTAAATATAATATATATATATATAGAGATATAGATATGTACGTGAAAATAGTTTACACAAAATACGACCGATGCACAAGAGACCGTGTCATGCAAGTGCCCGAGAGAGTGCGAGATCATTTCGCTTATAAAGGTTTTCACGATCGTGCTTCAGTACATAGATCAAAAAGATTAGTCAAAGAGAGGAAACCAGCTTTCTCGTCTACCTAATAAATATATTTATAAATTTATAGCGATCTAGTCTTTGACTGTTAGCTTCCTCATGATCACGAGGGTATCAAATATATCGTGAGACCTTGTACCTTCAATCCTTGCGACCTTGGACGTGAAAGGATGACATGAATAGTGACCATGAGTTTATTATACTCACGCTATTTTCTCGCTGGGTGATCTCCAAGGGACGTCGTCGTCCATTTCATCCTCGGACTCATCACCTTCGTGATCTAAGGATTCCTGACCAGGAAGATGTAAGGTCGAACTCGTTAACATGTCTGGTACTGGTAAAATGCTTGGTCTTCTACTTCCTGTAATGAAACAGTACCTTTGTACATGTACATGTGATGCTTTCTCTTTAAAATTTTTTGAAATGCATACCTTGTATCTGTAATGGTTGACTTAGACTACTTGTATAGTACCGAACTTGTCTTTACTGCTTAATTAAATATAGAAAAAGGCTTAATTTATTTATTAATTTACCTCTTCTTTGTGTAAGGATTTCGGGACTGAGCAGGTTCGGATTCGGATCTATGGATCGTGGTACGTCCAAGTGATTTCCAGTTATTGGTGTTTGCGGCGTAGATCCTCCATCCTTCAAACACTGCCGCGAATCTCCAAACCCCCCTGGATCTAAATAGGTTGCTATAAAATTAGAGATCTGTTACTAAAAATTATTTAGGCAGGTTTTTTCGAAATATTAAAAAGTTTATAAGAAATAAAAATATAATTCATTATGATAAAAAGAGAGGTGTAAAAATATTTCATTCTCTAAAACATTTTGTAAGAAATATTAATTTGTGTACAAAAGAAGAAATTTTCTAGACTACATGATGAATATAAGTTCAGTATTTTACAAATTCTATTTACATTTTATTTTTTAGATCATTTAAATAACTGTATTTCTTTTTTGTTTAATTTTCAAAGTGATGTAAACAAAGTGATGTTTTTCAAATATATCTACTAATTATAACGTATATTGCAGCTTTTTTATTTTGATTGAAGATCATTGTATGCTGAGGTCCTTCCCCGTTGTAAATTTCAACGCCATTTTGTAGTGTGTATAGTTGTCTTAATCATTTATCAGTGGTCAAAACTAGTGTGTACTATTTAAATAAAAAAAAATTAATAAAATCATCTGTCTATCTATCGACCATATATATTTTATTAAATATTTGATTTCTAATTTTGATATCCACCGTAGTTTCGAATAAATGGGTTATGCAAAATGTGTCACAGTCTTGTTAATTAGAGTCAAATGATATCGATAGAAAATATCCTTATACAATAAATTCGCATTCTAGACATGCACATACTTCAGCAGCAACATACATCTATAATATGATCGCTATAAAGGAGGCGTTGCTTGCATTAATTTATAAAGCCATGCTTTCAAGCTCAAATGTTGTACGATTCGTTGTTTTTACTTATACTATAATTTGATGGATCTATCAGTGAAAGCAGAATGAATTTGAAAATAAAAATACTTTTCTCATAGAGCACAGACTATAAATACTGTGTAGAAAACTATAATTTAATATTTAAAGTCCTAAAGTTATCATCTCCACTTTTGTACATATGCATTTCAATTTACTGCATGCAAAGCTGCAAATCGATGACACTGATAGAAATGGTAATTAATGATCAGTATCAATTGAATCCTATGATTAAAGCATTACACAATACAAATTCAAAACATTTGTATCTAAATTACTATTAGTTTAGTGCGTATAAAATCTCCTTTAATCTTACATTATCATACATCGTTTGTTCTATTAATTTACTATTATGATACATAAACATTTATTAATAAGACCGTAAATAAACTATAAAAATTGCCCCAACTGTTTTAATTATTCGAATACAAACAATTGGCTCAATTTATCTCCGTGAGTAATAAATACTCACTATGATGTACATTTAACAAAAGTCTATCTCTAACAAATCTTTGATGTAATCTCAAAATGTCATCTCAAAATTTTCAAATTTCTTTGCGTAAATTAAGCTGTCCATTGATAAAGAGAAACGAATATAATGAAACTACAAATATACACATCGCGAGTCATAGAAAAGAGAAGAGAGTATAAAAACGAATTAATACCAAGAAGAGTAAGAATAAAGAAAAGAAAGTAAAGGCAAGCGCATGCGACACTCACGGTGGACATCGGATGCGAGTATGTTGTGGTGTTCGAGTGGTGTGGGCGTGCTAGGGAGGACCTGCAAAATAACCTGTGGGGCCCTGTGTGTCTGAGTACCGTGTACGCTCTGTCCACGGGGCCCCGTGCAGGTCGTCTCCTGCCTGCAGCAAGCTGTTTCGTTCAGCGCATTGTTACAACTGTTGGAATTACGATGGTGCTCGTTAGCACCAGGCTTGTTTGCAGTACCGTTCCCATCACCACCGGCGATCGTGCAGCTGGTCGAGATTGTGGTGGTCGTCGTCGTGGTGCCTGCCCCTGTGCCCGAGTTCATCGTGGTGGTAGTGTTGTTGGTGGTTGTGTTGCTGCTCGAGCTACTGTTCACGTTTCCGGTCCCATCAGTTTTCGTTTCCACGACTACTTGCATTCCTTCTGTGCCACTTCCGGTCTGGTTGTTCGCCACCACGAACGCAGAATTCTCCTCTTTTGTGATGCTCATATAGTAGCAGGTGTCCGTTTTCTTCATTATGTGACGCGGACCTTGTGGCAAAATCGAGTTGTTCATTATCGAGTAGATCTTGAGTTCTTGAAGAATTCAATTTATTGTAAGTTTGGGTTTACAAGGGTTTCTGAAGAATCGATATGCTGATTTGGAGTGTTGATGTTAAATAGATAGTAGTTGTTTTATAATTAACATGTTTCATTTCAATGCTGTTATAAGTTTAAATTTTAATTTCATTTCGAGCAAGAGTAGCTAAAAAAGATTAGACTATTAATATATATAAATTAGATTATTTCATATTGCATTTTACCAGGATTTAAGAGGATAGTGTCTTCGTAAAATTCCGGAAGTTCCGCTGGTCTGACTGCAACTAACGCCACTCCGTATTTACGATGACTGTGGAAGGACGCGTACGTGAAGGATTTGCCCTCGTACTCGCCGAAAAACCGAGAATCCCCGAGGATAATGTGATAAATCTCATTTCCGGAACATTTACCGTACAGCCTATGCCACTCTTCCTGCGATTGCTGTCCCTCTCTAAAGAACAAGAACAAACCAAACATTTTTTACTATTGGAACTTATCCAATGATCATTTTACATAAGAATTCTGGGTTAATCTCTCTCGTGTCTACTCGGAGGAAAAATCAAATTTTCTACTTACTGTCCTCTGGAAGTGTGCAGCAGAAGAGTAACTAAGGTTGAAGCACCTGGGCACGTACAGTTATTCGCCAAAAGGGCGTATTTGAATTCATCCTCACACACCACGTGCTCTGCAAACTTCACGTGAAGTTTGTTCTCCGGACGGAAGATTTGAACGTACTGAGGAACGTTTGGTGCAAAATCCTTCACTGCCCACGACCTGTTGCCGACCATTACGATATAGAATGCAAAACTTGAATGTCAATTAACGAAATTATTATACTTTCTCAGATTCTTTTACTACGTATTCTTTTGTGTACGTAAATATTATAAATCAAATGCTTTTTCGATCATCTTTTCTTGCTATTGTTCATCGCAATTTTTAGTTAAACTGACCTAAGTATCGTGTGTTCATCAGCAGCGGTTTTATCAGCATAATTCCTTGCAGCAAGAACGAAGCAGGCCTCTGCCTCGTTCATTCTTGCTCTGGTGAGATCGCTATCTTTCAAACAGGATCCTTGAATATAGATTACCCTTTGCGCCCAAATGGGCACCTGTAGAATCATTCTCATCGTGGTGTCCAGCTCCATTGGCGACAATAGTACAACGTAGTAGTCCTAAACGTATTTGAATTCGTCAAATTATTGTCATTTACTTTCAATGCAAATGATTCAAATACAAAAGATTCTAAACTTCGCGTCGAACTCTTGACTTCGATTCCCTTTACGAGCGTAATAAAGTATTAAAATAAGATTGATGAATTATTAAAGTCAACTTTGCGAGTTTGAAAAGGTGCGATAACGGTAGACAGAGGAAAATCGAGAAGGAAATCGAGAAGGAAATCGAATTGGCAAAGAGTAATTGCACGATCGAATTTCTCACCTGTAGAAGGGGATGGGCGTAAAATTCATTTAGAAAATCCATGATGGTGTCGGCTTGCAGCGTTGTACTGCATACCACCACGTGTTTCTCGCTTTGCGCTCTGTGCGAGGAATACGAGCCACCTAGCTTTTGTCTTTCCATCCACGTGAAAGCCAACTGCTCGAACTGTTAGAGGAATAAATGGTGTCACTTCATATCGGCTATTTATTAGTCCCTTATTTTTCGTAGAATAATCACGTATTTCATTTCTTCGAGTAGAAGACGAAAATAAAAAATTACTTCCTATAATAATCGAATCTGACAATTTTTATTAAAGAATATAATATTTCTATTCTTGAAATATATTTTTTAATTTAAAGACTAGTTACCTATACTACAATTCATTAAAAAAATGTCGATTCAAAATAAAAGTACCAAGTTCAGAAAATTGGAAGACACTAATTGATAAGATTTGACAAATTTCAATTTACTGTATACGTGTGTCTCAAGGATTCCTTTTATGAGAATATGAGTATCACGTGCCATTGACAGGTCTGACAGATGAAGCGCATAGTTATCGCTGTCATAGCAATCTGTGCCGCCGATCGACAGCTGCCCTTTGATATCACCCACTGTCATTAGTCAATGATCTCGGTCAACAAGTAGGATACCGTATTCAGGTTAGATTCCACAGCTAAGGGATTTAATCAAGCCTCGTTGCCGACACCACTTGAGCATGACTTAGATTATAACGTATGTAGATTTTATGAAAGCTTGATAACAGAGCTGACAATGAGCTGTGCACGCAGTAATATTTCATTTTATGTCCGTGGATTAATTGCGGTAACAAAGCCATTTACGATGATGAGGAGATGTGAATTTCATTTAAAGTTGTATCCAGAGTTATAGAGGTAGAATAATAAAAGGTATCATCCCGTCTAATGATTAAGATTGTTAATGACGTCTACGTCCAAGTATGTTTGAGATCTGAGTATATAGCGCATTGTCAGAATTTATTTATTTAAATTGTAAAACCTATACGAGAGTAGTTGGAGTTTGTAATCTAGAGATTTTAGAAACTCACGTCTCGCGTCCTCGACGGCCTGTAGATGCGTTAGACAATGAGAATTTCCGAAGGGTAAATTAGAAATTAGTTCCAAAAGTCTGACGATAAAGGAGGAGTCAGAACCCCAAGGAAATCTCGCGCTGTTGCTGAACTTTCGCCCACCTGAAGTCGTTATAGATATCGCCGTTCATGGCAAGGATTATGGTTATTAGGTATTTTCAGTAATGATCAATCAGAGCGAGCTTTAACTATATTATACGACTAGTTGGCAAGGAGTCAATAAGTACTTGAACATTAGGAAAACCACATGAACTATTAATACTTGGACAGATAGGATGACCAAAGTTAGTAACCTAATAGCGCCGATAGAGTTGTTTTTTAATTAGAATATTTCTTTCACCTAATCTAATCTAACTGCTATGGATATTACAATTAGATTGTACCAACTTTCTCTCTTGATTTACTTTTGGTTACTATTTTTTCTGGCATTAAATTTTGTTTTCCGAAAGAAATGCACACGCTTAAACTCTGTCACTGTAATGTAATAGACAAATAAAGATGACTCAAGATTTTTCATGTAATGAAAAATTATGAGAGATATGCTATTTCATTATTACTACTCAAATCTCTTTAGTAAGCGTCAAATAAAGGTATCTCACAGACGTGGAGATAAAAGGACCACGATTGTTACACGTTTCATGTCAGTTGTCATAATGCTGGTATTATGGAATTTCGTGTTACACAATTCTGTACACGTGGTCTATGGCGGGTTTTACTATTTGCTATCTTCTCCCCGGAGACAACTGAAAGTACTCTTCCGGATGTGTTGGCCGAAGTTAGTTTCGTTGCGTCGTCATATACCACCACATGCAGTAACAGATTGCTTGGTTTAAAGGTTTATTTTCGCAATGCAAGATTGTTTCACTGGTAATGATAGATTTTAATTAAACAAAGTCTGCCAACTATTGAAGTTAACTCTTACCTTCTATATTATACGATAACTTTTCTATCAAATTCCGAATGTATAACTTCACCCTTGACAAGTTTTACAGTATAGAATGTATATGATATTATATAATAACTATATAATAGATACATTTCAGAATCGATATCTTCAGATTGTTTCAGCAATTTCCTGATCATTAAATTTCTTATATATGAAGGTCTCGAATTATTATCTATCTTTAGATTTTCGTCGAACAGCGATCAAGGCAAAATCGATAGCAGTTTTACGATCGTCGAAGCACGCATGCGCCATTTGATGTCGTAACATCCGTCGTTAAATCGGAAATAAAGTTTCATGCGATCAGTAACTTTTGGGGTGATAAATATCATTCGAATAGCAGAAAGTAATGGCCGTATACTTGCTATCCTTGTAGAGTTGTGTATGGCGGGAAATCATGTTGAATATCGTAAAAATGATCGGTGCAATAATTTCACCACCGTATCGTGAAAAAATCAACCATAGGTCAAATCTCTCATCATTGCAAGTTTCTTCACTTACCATATACTTCTATAACTAGATGCAAATTTTTTGAATTATTTTATCACCTCAGTTGCACGTTAATAAAAGGTTAAAGAAAATAAAATATGATACGCACCTGAGTAGGTAGAACAATGAGAGCAACGCAGATCATGATGACCATATAAAGCTGAGAGGGCCAAATATCAGGTACAAAGTCCCCATAACCAACCGTAGAAAACGTGACCACAACGTAATATGTGCTTTGAAACAGATTCAGATGCCTGTGCCCCGCCCTTTGGAAGTGTTGAATTCCGCATACGCTGAAACAGCCAATTGAAAACTGCAATTTGAATCACGCGATCGTAGTGTGCCATCTATCGGATATTAAAACAAATAATTGGAGCAACCCTTCGTCGGTAACTATACGATTCGCAGTCGTTTCGAACTGATCGTATAATTGCGGGTGTTCCTCGAAGTTTAAGGGACACCGTTGATGAATCTTTCCATCGTCAAAGAATCGAACGATCGTTGAAATATCGAGGATCATTCGATCGGAGTAATCAGTCTTAACAAACAACATTTTCAAACGACTCGGTTCCATTATGCATGCGGCCTCGTTCTCGTATCTATATCGGGTTTATATTTGTGCGAATTACTTTTCTCTTTCCTCGCAAAGTTTAAGCAACTATTTTTGTACTATCGTAGCAAAACGATCGTATAACGACTTTTCCCTTTATTTAGACACGAATCGGTGGCAGTTTCAATGTCCTTGCACGGTATATCGTATTACGGTAAATATTACCGTCGCGAAGTGTGAGATTTAAAGTAGCAGTATAGAGTAGCTCGCGATTTATAAATCATGAGAATACGATATTGTATAACGTTTCCTTCGATAACTTTCGTAATCAGACCTGCTTTATGGAAATCAGAATTATGCGAATATCGTGAATATTAACACGTAGTTATCAAAGCAATATTCACCTTAACCTATTCACTGAATTCAAAACGGAATAAAAATCGCGTGAGACGTACCTGTTTCGATTGCACATTTTGATTAGCACAGAAAAAAAGAATAAAATAAAGGAACGTTGAATAGCGAGTGAGAAAGAACATATTGCTTTTTTAATTGGATGGTTTTCGTTTCGCGTTCGACTGCATCGACATCTATCAAAAAATATTCAAACTATTCTCAACACTACCGGACTTGTTTCGAAAGCATATCGCTTGGCGAAATCGTTTGCACGCTTGTTACCGTTGTAGTTATTCCCACGGTATCGATATCACAGGTCACTTGGCGCGTCGATCGGGGTACTATACGACGGATACTTTTTCTGTCCGGTAGATGGCGAAGAATCATTGATTTGAGTTATCGACGTCTACTTGACATTTCATCGATACGATTTATCGGAGTTCGGTAAACTAACGAAAGGTTTCGACGAATCTACACGTGTGGCGCTGTAAATATTCGCTCCCAGGGTGCTATGCGTAATTTTACCGCGTTCCATGAAAACAGAATCGACAGGTCACATATCTAGACGATTTATCGTTATTGCAATTTTGATTTTGATCGAGGAAAATTGTTGGTTGATTCAATTTTGCGTGAACGATACAGGTGAAATTTGTAGCGAGGTTAAGTCGATATATCTAGCATATTCGATTGATAAAATGAATATATATTGAATTTATGCGGAAAAGGTCAAAACAATATTGTATCGCGCGTCGAACAGATTTAAAGGTCATTACTTTTCCTTCTTTATCAAACGATCGCGATATTCCGACTTTAAAGACTCGAATGGAATGAATTTACGAAGTAATAATTATTAATAATGTACGACAATTATTATTCTTATTTTACGGCTGGATATCATTTTTAATCTCGTTTAATATTATAATTCTTCCATTTTTATGATCGTGTCAGCCAATTTACATTTTATATCGAAATATACGAACGATATGGGCTTGTGAATTATTTATATTACAATTTCAAGGAATAAATCAAAGTGGAAAGCGTGAAACGCTTTGTCGTTGTATTTTATACGGGATAATAACGAATTAAAATTTTAAAAAAGGAATTTAGTAGGTCGATGATATGTCTAAGAAAAAAGGCTCTCAGCGGATTAAGGTAAAACGAGTTTCCTACTTCTTAATTTATCTGGAAACGGTTTCCCTGATTTATGGGCGTGATTTCTACTGAAAAATCTGTAGAATTTCACGAGAAATATGTCTCGCAAGAAACTTGTTACATCAACATTTTTCTATGAAAATTAACAACACTTACGGTTATAAAACCGCATAAAAAATAACGCATAGTCGAGAGAAATTTAAGGAATAGTGGAGGGAAGAACAGAATTTCGGAAAGAATCTGATTACGTTTCAAAGAGAAGAAATTGGCCAGTGAATTTTCCTCGCGCGAAATTTGGTCTAAAGCAACAATAGACATTTATAGCGTGTCTTACTTATTCCATCCATGTTCAAGAACACAGACACGCTAGCTCCGCTGCATTATCAATATTGATTGTGCAGAAGGGTTGCTCGTTCAGTTCAACTCCGAGGATACAGATTACAGCAGACCTTGTTCCCTGTAAACTCCACAAGTAGTCGTTCTAACGAAGTGTGTCGGCGACTATACATCTTGTAAGCGCGACAAGCCATTCGTAAGGCGAACGTCAAGCGATTTTCCCACTGGCAGTGAAATAGATAACGCCTGGTCCGACGCAATAACTGGACCATATGATAATAAATTTCGCTCATTAACAGGCACCTGCTATTTATACGTCCGTACGTGAGCTGTACGCATAATTTCGTCACGCTGTTACCGGATTAGCTTTATCAGCTCGTTGTTTCACACACGAAATGTAACGCGACAATTGAGCCAGGCCTTCGTAACAAGTTGTAGGCATAACGAAAATGCTTATACCTCGCTTCAATCGAACACGTCGAAGTGAAACAGGATGGACGTTGTTTAATATTAAAGTGGAAAGTATTTGATCGATTTCTATCTTTAGGCTCTCTCGTGTTATTGGATTCTTTAAAATTATACGAGGTACTGCTCGCGACCAAGTAGCCATTATTTCTTACCTACTTTTATTTCGTGGCTACAAAAAATCAGTTCCTTGCGAGTGATCACAATTGAATGGGAAAATAATTTTTCATAATTTTCCTAGCAGACCTCTTCGAAATACTGGTCAACTATTATTTATTTGATTTATTCCTCTCGATTTATCCTTCGAGATAAATATGCAAATAGTGATGCATTCGATGCAAACTCGATCAAATATCTGTAGATAAATTTGACATTAATGCACAATTGTAAAATGACATTACTGTTGTTAATTTAATAATACATGTAGGAAGATAATAAATGTAATAATTCTATATTATAATTTTGTATAGTTAGTAACGAATGAGGGGGAATGCATATTGAAATCGAGTGACAAGGAGTATGAAAGAGACAGAAATAGAGTGTAGAATTATTATACTTATTATTTTTCTATATTTATTATTAAATGAATGATAATAGCGCCGTTTGACCATTGGGAATTATTGTCCAATTTACACACGATATCAATCAACCTAAAGGCTAATCGATATTTTTTCGAATAACCACGATGGCGCTCTCAAAAATATTTTACCATATATCATGTTCACGAACCGTCACTATGACGACGATACTTGAATTTTCCACGTGGATTCCCAGATTCGAGGGTCCTTTTATTTCAAGCTACGCCACATTTTGTGTTCCCAAAATATTTCAGCGTGAAACGAGCGAGTCTAGACGAACCGTGACGAGGTAGGTGAGCCTTACGTCGTACAGTGGGAAATTTCACCAAAAAGTTGGCCAAAATTTAATTGTTCAAGTGTATAACCGCGTTTTGCTACTATGCCATATTACTGATCCTATTTTCCACTTCGAATTAATTCCATTCCCTTTATTCTGTTAAAAAACAATAGAGATCAACATCAAAACACCCCATACTGTCGGAATAGAGAACCAAAAGTTACTAGAAAAATAATTAAGAATTATTAGAAGACTACTGTTCTTACGACATTTACACGAAATAGGTGATGGAATAATCTCACAAAATTTGTAAATTTTGAAGTTTAAATACTAAAAGGATGGATACAGTTATAATTCGTAAAAAGTTTATAAATTATTATATTCCTTGTTAGTAACAAATTGTGCACAACGTGAATTTACGTCGTTATATACAATCGATGTCCCTCAATGAACCTGATTTTTTAACATATAAAAAGTAATCAGGATAATTTAACACATCGATGCATGTGAAAGAATTCCTTAATTTAGAAATCCTGTAATTGGTATTATTAATTTTGCATAAATGATTGAATTTATTGTTAATAACTAATTGATATTGTTAATAACTAATGAATATTGTTAATAACAAATTACCTGAACCGTAAATTTACAATAAAAGTAGAAAAAGTTAAGAAAATATCGACTATTACAGAGAAAAAGGAATTATTAAGGAAATCGGAAAAATTCGGAAATTTTCGGGAGATTTCGGAAACCGATCGGGGGTCATATAAAAAGGTCACCGCGGGAGTACTCGGTCCATTGCCGGTTCGGAGCTCGACCGGGACACTTCGGGGTCTGGACCAGGCTGGAAGAGGAGGTTGGAGGTGAGGTGGAGGTGCATGGTGGTGGATAGTGGTCACTGACTGGACCCTCGGGCTAGCCGATAGCCATTGTCCACTCCACTCACACACCACCCCCCACCCCTCGTCTAAATAAACCTTTTCTTTCAGAATTTACTTATTTTTATGTCCGAATTCTTTCATCGTTGGTTTGTTATCTTGAATTCGGTTTTATTTCATCGATGGTTTGTTTCTGTCTCATCGATGGGATTTTTCTGTCTCATCGATGGGTTGCTTCTGTTTCATCGATGGATTGTTCCTTCCATTTGGTTAACCTTTACGGTTTCTATTCTTTTCGCTTTTATTTTGTTTCCCCTACTAATCCGTTTCCTTACAGGTTTATATATTTTCTTTTCAGGTTTTCAGGATTTCATTCAGAAGACATCGTTGGACGACGAGGGATGCGTGCGTTTAGATCTAAGTAGCTATAAGTAGTTATAAGATAGGTCTCTAGATTAAGATTCATGTGCGCGCTTTCCGTACAAAGGTAAGCTGCCTAACTTGGAGCGAAAATATACATTTTTTCTCACTTATCCCTCTCGTTTACCAAACAGAACATAATTGTCCTCGCGATAATCGCGATCGTTCTTAAGCACCGACTAGTCTCGCGACGTACTCTCGTGTACTCGACAATTGCATGTTTCGTAAGTCATCCTCGCGACTCGTTTCCGACACTCATTCTGGCCACTGTCAATGTCGTCATGCATCGAGTTCGGGGGTAGTCGGTGGGCTGGTGGCTCATCTGGTATCAATACGAGGGTCTGTCGGCCCTGGTCGTCCTGGGTGCCAATCTGTGCACACGACTGGGGTATGGGCCTTGCAGTCGGACATTGCATATCGTACCTACGGTCAGACCCCATGGGATGATTCCTTAATTGGTTTCTCCCCCATGTGGCAGGGGAACGGCGTGACCGGCTGCAAAGCCTCGCTAGGGACCCTCGGGTTGATCCTGGATGTTTCGCTGGTTCGTCGATCATCTTCGTTCGCGAGTAAGTCAATCGACAGTGGCTGGAATGAGTTAGGCCCGATCGAGAGGGTGCCGAGGCATGAAATTGACTTGTACACGGCAGTACATCGCGTAGGCTAGTCGGTCTTTCGAATAATCGCGAGCTCGTCCGGGCGCGTCGCGATTGTAACTTAGTTTTCCTTTGCTCGCGTTTTACATGTACGATTCCCCAATTTCGTGGGAACTTAGAAATATTAGAGTCTGTTGAAATGAAATATATTAGTGTCGCGTCAGTAGAGTATAAACTTTAGTATACCGAACCGAAAACCTTTCTGAAGGACACGAAATTTAATAACGTGTCAGTAGCTTCGCTTCAATTTCTTTCGCTCCAAGTTAGATTAGGGTATCTTTGATACGGAAGGCACCAGTAGGTTGCGCCAGTAGGGCGCATGTCCGGGTCTCGATGCGTAGCCACCTCCACGTGGTGAGACCTGGTAATTGGTATCGTTTTCCAAAGAAAATTCTTTGGAAAATCATTCCAAGCTGAGAGCTACGTACACGTTGTTATGTAAATTAAGATAATTGTAACTTTCGGAATTTCCCCTTGTGGGGAGAAGATATTTCCCTGCTCGAGGAACGACTTCCGAATAATTCCGTGATCGGCCAGCAGACGGTGGGCCATCCGACCGAGTCGCGGCTGCAAGGGCGAGCTTACAAGTACGCCGTTCTAGTATTACACCGTGAATAATGAATCAGGACGATCGATGGCGATACCAATCCATCTGCACGAGCCGCCACGATTACTTATTAACATTTGTCCCACATTGCGATCTGGGTCAATCAGCCAAGTTTCATCCTTTCGCCCGACATGATCGTAATCCTTGCACAGGATATGGCGTATGTAGGATGGGAATCGAACGATAGACGGTTGTTCGATCATAGCTCGAATGACCATGCGAATGTCGACGTGTGTTATCGAGGAAAGGATAACTGCGGAGGACAACGATCGCGTCGTTACGATGCTACTTTGTTAATGAAAGCTTCTGTTATTTATAGGAAACGCGAGGATGTGAATTTTTAAAGCAGGTTGCTTGGAATGACATTTGCGTGGAATGTCGTAACGCCACGTTTGAGTAGCAGTTTCATAAGAATTGGAGTAATAATTCGAACGTGGTCGTGCTTTCAGCTGTACGTACAGCGTTTTGATTTATCTACGATAACACGATGAATATATATTGCCAGTTTATTTGTATTAATTGAACAACGTAATGTAATAAGTAATTTGAAGCGAAGATTGAGACGAGTTGATAGGTTTGTATTTTTAATCAATCCTGTGTTCATTATTGTAATTTAATGATATTACGAATAACAGAAATTATTTTCATAAAATTGATCTTGTTACGAAGAAACATAATTTGGAAATTTTCCTTATTGCCCTGCTACGGATAAATTTAAACGATCATATGGAACGTTAAAATACGGTACACCCTTTAGACTTGGACGAGTAAGAGAAGAAGGAAATGCGTGGGGTTGATAAACACGCGAAATTGTAGTTATTACTCGGTTTTAATTGGTAATTTTAAAGTTTCCTGGAATATTTCGTTGAATAGTGCGTGGTTAGGTTTCGAACCAGTGTGTGGAGTAGTATTACCAGATTTGATGGAAAATAGATTGCATACTAGTTCGCAATTTTGCAACTGAATTGAGGAATACGAAGTTTGTATACCGCAAATGAAATTCACAGCTTAACAGTAATTATCAACGAAAATGTAGCAAGAAGGAAAAGAATATTTTTGAAGAATATCTTGTAACTTCTAATTTAATTCAATCCTGAAAAAGAACAGCATTTAAGGCGAAATTATGATCCAAAAATTTTAGATCTATACCTAACGGGACGATTAATAGTTTCCTGGAGCATAGACATTACAAAAATGTAATACCTTCACCGAATTATAAAATAAATGACCTATTTCGATCAGCATTGTTTCGTTCAAAATAAAACCAGTTTCCCACAATAGCAAATCTCATCATTAGTCAACGGATATATGCGTCAGCGCATCAAGTGTAATCGTTGTGTTACCTTGACATGCTATTAACAGTACCCTGTTCTGTTTCAAAGACAGCCAACTATCGACTCTTTGCGCTTTTTCGACACAACACGCAGTAAACGACATAGTTAGAAACTTTCGTATATAGTAGAAAATGAATGATCGAGCAATTGAACACTATGCGTAAAATATTACGATTATTTTTAGCCCTTGCAATCGGTTGACCGCGTTTGCAGCTTTAGCTAAGTATATTCTTGGCTCTATTTCCAGAAAGAAGTTTATTTCAACGAACCGATCAAACAATATTCACTATTTGGATTCTCTTGGAGTCGTTAGAAGTCCTAATATATTTTCCACGTGTCAGGGTCGGTCAATATTTTCTTTTATGACAAAGACTAGTTTAGAAATTGAAATTCGTTACGAATTCAACTGGATTTATCAGGATCCAGCATTTCTCTGCCTAACACCACCGAGACAATCCGCGAATTCGTAAATGGAAGCGTTTGTCCTGATTGGCAAAGTTTCTTCGTTATTCGGATAATGCAATACGACTTGTATGCAAGCTACGCAACATCCGCTTTATGCAAACTTGAATAACGGTGGAGAACGGAGAGGCGATGAAATCTGAAGAAAAGTTGACCTGCTCGAGGATGAAATTCGAATTTGTTCTTCTAACTGATCGTTGCTCTAATTGTATGGGATAAAATTGAAATTATTCGAAGAAAATTTATATAACTATTTATACTACTCAAAGTGATTATACTGGTTGTCTTGATAAAAAAAGAGGAATCTTCATGGGTATTTCATCTTCCTTCATAGCATTCAGTTATTTATCTATTTTCCTTCAACTCTTCGAATCTCATCACACGTTTTAACTCCAAGTGGAAAACAAAATTAAATCTCCCTCGACAGATCGACAGAGATTCTTTTAATTTGCACCCGTCTGAACGTTTACATCTGAAAATTCGTTTGAAGTGGAAATTGCTAATTGCAAAGAGAACAAGGAGTGGCTAGAAAATTATTTCAACTGAAGCAGCAAAACGGAAACGGTGTTTTCGTGAAACAATTTTAATTTATATAAAATTTCTCGCGCAGCAAACGTTTTCCTTAAGAAGATATTTCACTTTCAATTTTGCACGCGGATTCCGTAACGGAGGCAACTTTAAATTTGGAAGTTTCGTAACGTAGTTTCGGGTATATAACGTAAAATTAACATATTTCAAGAGATAAGCTTGTCGTTTCGCTTTTTGGGAAATAATTGCTCAAAACTACTCGAATTTCCGCTAGCAATGATGGTAAATGTAATACACGAATAATACTATCATTGGAATATTAGCTCTAACGTTATGAATCACACGTTCCTCCAGCACAAAGGAAAGATTAATTATTTTACGCGTCAATAATTTATGTAAATTAATGCAGAAACTCTCATTTCAAACGAAAGATAGTTTCTACTTCACGAGGCATTTGCAAAAATTACAATATGCGATAAAGTAATTAAAATTCAACATTGGAAAATAATTGAATGTAATTCTGTTCACTTACCTAGTAAAGACAAGGCACAGTAACGTAGCACTAAGGATCATGAGTTGCTGGCTTAAAGCTGACTGGGATTTTTGCATAGCTCTGTGTAGGTCGTTCTGAAACACGAGCATCCACGATCAGGAAATGGAAATTAAGAATTTAAGACCAATTACTATGTGCCAATTACTTACGAACATATTTTCCAATGAATGCTTTGCCAACCAGCAATTTAGGAACACAGGAATGAAGAGATTTCGCATTGGTGGATAAAGTAGCTGGAAACAAATGTACCACTCGTTATTAATCCCAATAATATTCAAAATAATTTACATATTTTCATATTTAACGATAAATAATATCGATCGAGATCAAATATTACATTTTTTCCTGAACTTTAATTTTGCAAGAAAATTTCGAATTTTATGTCAGAACTTCGCTCCAACTCGAAGTGTTACAATGTCCAAACGATTTATCTGCGCTCAAGTTAAAACAGGGTTCAGAGAAATTTCCGCTTTTCGTTAAGTGTGTAAATTACATTCCACCGAACACAGATATTTGCGAAGGCAATTGTGGACGCGTGCAAGAACAACGAGTTTGCTCATTGTTCTCGCTTTCCTAACATCAAAGGCTACGACGTTCGCGCCGAAGAACAAACACGTGTCAAACTGAAAGCAGTTAACGTCCGTCACTGTTTCCTCGATGTAAACTTCGGACTTCTAAGTAACAGTTCATTAAAACAAAGAAACAAAGCGCACGCGAGAGATATTTCGTGGACAACGAGAAGTTCGAATCTTGAATAAAGAAATATCCGATCTCTAAATAAGAACACGCGCCAAGAAACCTGTTGTAACAAAAGCGAAAACATCGATACTTAAAAACCAGACTCGAAACTCTATAAAACCCACGTTTAGATACGCGATCGAGTGAAAACTTCAAGTGTCATCAATATCGATAGGTTATAACTGAAGTGCATAGACTGTGAGTCAAATAGACCTGATCTTCGATGATCATTAACGCAAGAGGAAAAATACTTGCGACGGTGTTTTAAAAATAAAACACGTTGGAAGGTATAGGCAACGCTCATAAGTCACGAATAGCTTGTCATGTAATGTAAATGCTGACCTAAAAAAACTAAACGGCTGAAACTGCAGTTATTTCTACATTATTCTGAAACAGTTGCCGAGAATTCATTGAAAGCGAAAAAGCAACTCGACTGTAACGAGAATAGCCCTCAAGTCCTTCACGTGCCATTAAGCTGAAAGATATTTTTCATACGGGTATCATTTAGTTTTTTCCAATCTCAATACGCGCGGAATACGCCGAAAAAGAAAGAAGGGAAAGTTGTACATCGTTTGGAGATAAAATATTAAAAATATTTCGGTAAGAGGAGTAAAGTACCAACCGTCTGACGTCAAACGCTTTTGGTACGTCACGAAACGCTAGGAGACGTCGCTGGACGTCAGAAAGTGAGCTCTATCTATCGTAAAAGGTACGTCAGGTAATCTAGCATTTAGGGTCATTAGTGTAAACTTTCCTTAATAGAAGATTTATTTACGTCCCACGTAACAAATGTTTTACAAGCTATCACAGTTAGAAGGAGCGATGACTTGGGATTTACTGGCCCCGCTGGAACACCAGCAAAGTGACGCAAAACTAATGAGTCTAAGCCAATTAAATTCCGTAGCACGATCCTCTGATGCTGTTAAACCCTATTCGCGTTCAGATGAGGGTTAGTCCCAATAGGACACAGATCGATACCTCAAGATCGTGTTTAATTTATCGGACACGTGGAAGAAACGGTATCGCGTTCTCGAAATTTTAATTAAAAACCTCTACTTTACACGTTCAATCGACCAAAACCTTAAATAACCGATAATCCGTCCTGTCTCGTTAAATTTCAGGTCTATCTCGCACAACTACCGGTTATCGGAGAACAGAACGCAACGCTACTCGTTGTCGTTCGGCAGTCGCTCCAATTATTGACTCGTACCACTGGAGCAACCTCGATAGAATCCCTGACTCCTACCACTTGCGCTGGATCTCATCGAGCTTGGCATAGTGATTCGAACACGCACGAAATTTCAACGTTTCGTGAACCATCGTTAACAATACCCAATGAGGAAGGAATCTATTCGAAATGGAAACCGTATAACACTGATTGACGCTCGAACATCTTATCTTCTATTAACATTAACCTCATGCCTTGCGATTTATACACGGTTCAACAAAAATTGGCGAATGACGTGGGATCAGAACAGGGCCGAAACGTAATATCCGGATCCCTACTCAGGGGAGATGCGTATGCGTACCTGACAGTCTATACGTCATCCAGGAGCTTTTCTCAGGGGCTGCTAAAAGGCGTCACTGAGCAGCGAGATTCAGCAGTCGTTTATCTGCAGTCTCAGCGTCGATCACGTGAATTTTCTGTTAATATTTCCTGCCAATTCTCGTTGACTCGAGTATAAATTTTAATGGCATGTGCCATAATCAACAGCACAGTCGACCGCACGACTAGCCATTTCGTCCGAACGCGATCGAGAATAACACGTAACTGAGACGGAAAGACATCGGTGAAAATGAACCATGAGCCTGAACGTATTGTTTACGTTGAACTATATCTACAAACTACGTTTCTCACCTATAATACTTGAACCTGTGAACTCGAATTCCTTGTCAGAAGTCTCGCATGATATTGTAAGCGGAAGAGTTAACCCTTTGCAGTCAAGAGGCGCTTCCCGGTCGCCATTTAATCAGATTATAAAGATGGGTGCTAATTAATACATCAAATTTACAATTACCCAACGATGCGTGGAATATCGAAGCAAAATAATTTTACATTTTAATTTGCTTATGATTCCTCATTTTTCGTTTCAAAAATATCGTCGACGTTATGACAGAATGTCTTCGAATTACTATTTTCCCGTGCAAAGTGTTAAAAGTGCAAAGGGTTAAAACTTACCGTGGTCTGAAACGACCGTGTTTAAATTTTTAATTAAAAATTCTGCATTTAACTTTAATATTTCTTCCAATTCTATTTTTGGTTGAGATTCTTCATCTACGAGGACCTGTTACGCGACCAGCCATGATTCAGAGTCGAATATGGCACATTACCGTTATGGAAATCGAAATACTCGTGCTTTTGGCGTCCACCAATTTTACGAACGCGTTACATCGGTCTAATCAACCATACGCGCAATGACAACCTACACTCAGGCAAGTGGATGCAGAGCAACAAGTTCTTTACTCTTTCGGCATGATGGCTCGTTAACAGAGTGGAGGGCGGGCAGCCGTGACTCGAGGTTCGACGAAATGAACCTCCATTAGAACCTTTTGGCATTGCGTGACGGGTGGATGTAAAACGCGTAGATTCCTATCGTTTGCTCGGTGGAATGGAATTCAGAAGGAATCACACGGTTGATATAATTCGTTTTATTGCCGACCGCGAGCTCCGAACGCCCGGAAAGCATTTCCATACGACCCTCTTATCAACCCGCGTCTTAATGAACCGTTTTATGGCTTTATATACTTCTGTCCCGACGCTTGGAAAACGTAACGGGCAAAGTGTTCAGCGATCCCCGCGATATGTCTAGCTTGTATTCATAAAACGTTGATATACGATCTCCATTTTCTTGCTTTACTTCCTGCTTTATCCTTATTACGTTTGAGCTTTATTGGGATCGGTTTGAAGAAGAATAGTATTTGGTTTGCGTACAGTCGGCTTTGGAAATAATTTCATTACTTTCTCTGATTAAAAAATTTTTTTTTTTGATAGTTAAAGAGAGGATGAATAACAATAAAGTAGAATACGTCGTTGAATATATTGGAATAATTAATAATTATTTTTAGAATTTTTGTGCAGTTACGTCAGTGTAATTATACATAATAAAGTAAATTTATTTCGTGTTATTATTCGAGATTACATCCCGCAAGCTGTAATATCAATCATATTGTCATCCTCTCTTGTTTATTATACGTATATCATCAATTTTAATTTACTCTGTCTAGGCGCACAAAAGATACGCTGTATGATTTAATGAAAACAAAAAGGAATCTCTTGTTACGCTAACTATTTAAAATCCCACGATATTTCGACAATGTTTATATCAATCTGCATTATTACAATTAAGAGTTATACACAGGGGTGGGTTTCTCGAAACTCGAATTTCGAAACAAAAAAATTGGAGTTGACGAATAACAAATTATTCGTAGAATTTGGAACGAAATATTTTTTTTAACTACATTATTTTCCCTTAGACCTCGTACAATTATGGTCGTTTTATAAAACGAGCTCCGTACTTCGAGTTTCGAGATTTCAAAATTCCGAGCCACCCCTAATTAAAAGCATCGAATTTACTGCGGTACGTGTCGTGCGTGTATTTACTTCGTGATTAAAATAAAGCGAGCAAAGAGGTGAAAGAGAGAAAATGAAGAGAAAAAAAATATGAAAGCCAGAATATTTGGAATAACTCACCGTGATGGTGAACGGGATGGTGTTGACCAGTTCCAGGATGAAGTGGAACGAGAGAAGCTGCTGCCAGACGTTTCCCTGTGAACATGACGAAGACAGCTCAAAAAACCCAGCGGCAATTTTAAGAAAAATGCAGAGTGCGTGAGAACGTTCCACGAACAACACCAAACAGCCGTCCTGCACTTTCTGTCCACCTTCTACTAACGACAAGCAACAGCTCATCGTCGATGATTCTCCAAACGTAACTTTAAATCAACAGGTGCTCGGTTAATTACCGAAAACCAATTTAATACTGTCCTCGGATTTGCAAACTGGCAAGCTGGCTTGCATAGGTAAATATTAATTAAACCATCGCGCAAATACTGTAATTGCGGAGTTCCGTTTAGCAGAATTATCCCGAATTTACTACCAACGATTTTCTACTTTGAAATATTTCGTGAATCGCCGATTGTTCACTCGAAACTTTAAAGCAGCGAGTAAAATCAAACTCTCGGTAATCGGATTACGAGGATTATCGAAATTTTTTTTACAGAGATATTTCATGGAGTCTGTTAGGGAGATTATATTTCATATATCAGTATCGTTATTATTTGTATTGTTTTATTTATTTGTGCAGGGTTAAAATAGTTCAGCTTTTGAATCATGTGGGAGAATTATTATAGAATGTCGTGTAAGAATTATGTATGTATCTGTTCTAAAATTGAGGTTGCTTTATTATGTCGTGATTTGTATCCTGGAGACAGCCACGATTTGATCGAGCATTCGATGTATCTTTGTGAAAGCGTTCTTATGCCACGTCTTAATTGAAACGAACGATAGGTTCGTCCATAAATCACTGTAGCGAATCTCCGCGCGCATACATCTTTTAACGTGCCCTGTCAACGTACATCTGCTCGTGGGTAGAACGCTAATTTGCAAGACCACACATCCTGTAGGATTTTCAGCTATACAGCATTTCCTGACGTGTTCAATGAAGATGAATCAAGATTCCTGGTACACGATCTGAGAAAACATCGTAGAACTATCCAAGCTCCGATTCACGTGTAAATCCTTGATAATAATTTAGAGTTTCTTGAAAAATTCGTAACTTGACACAAAAATTTTAATATATCGCGAAAAATAATTAATTATATAAGTTCGTTTTCACGTATTAAATAGTACCTCGATTTTTATAAATTTTGTAGGAATTCTTTGCTACATAAATTAATTCCTGTCGAACGGATCATTAAATATAAAATGATATTTACGAATATCCTTCATGAAAATTCTTTCCACGACTAGGGAGAGGGAGAGAGTAATAAAATGCACGGGGTATTACAAAATTTACTGCTGCTTTGCCGTCGTAAACCTCCGAATTGAAACAATTTAATACGAAATACGATTCGCGCCAGGTTTTATGCTCGCATTTAACGCGTTGCTTTGAAATTTCCGCGCGAACCAAAGGGAATTTTCCATCAATGCAGAGTTTTATGCAAATGTGGGACATCGAAGTGTGTACAGAAAAGTTTCTACCTTAGTGCAAGGAAAACATCTTCGTGGATGCACCGTGTTCACCAAACCACGGACCATCAGGAATTAATAAACCCAAAGAAGAAGAATACTTTGAGTCTTTTACTGCGACTGTTAATGGAAATTCTCGCAAGAAATTATTAATTTCGTGGATAAATAAATTTTACGTTAACTACACCTGTTCACGAAGATCGCAAAAAATATTTTTGATACGTTACACATCTTTAAAAAAAATAAATAAATAAATAAATGGAGTACAAAGTGTTGAATTTAATTAAGAATTGCACAATGATAATTAATTCCATCTTAAGTAGATTTCGAGATAATTAAAATTACGCGATGCATTCATTAAATCGCATTTTTTCGAGAACACAATTTTGTAAAATTCTTTCTACGGCAAATTCTCTCTTCTCTCGCACAAATTCAAAATTCTCCCCATTCTTCCTGCTTCGTCTACGTTTTATACTACTCTGTCCGAAATTCCCAAAACGAGAATGCCAAGAATGCCCAAAATTTCTCAATCCCGAAACGAAGTATTCGATTACAGAATCTACGAGCAAAAAAAATGCTCCCCTAAATCACGATACGCATTTTTCGATCGTTCATTCCTGACAGATTATCCATGTACGCTTCTGAAACTTTGAAATTCCCTAGCAGTTTCCTGTCCCTAGCAGAGCCAGTCGAAAAACTGTGTCACGTCTCAGCACAGACTAATCTGCTGTTCGTACTAGCGCCATCACATATTTTCCGTTCCGGTTCCTTTCTGTCAAGCTGTCGAGGGCTCGAATCTTTGTCACGCGCATTGGGCCAAGCTCTTGCGAGTTGCCCGAAGTTTCGAAGCGAGGGCAGAGGAGATGCTAACGAGGTGAACGTGAAAGAGTAAACCTGCAGTCACGTATGCCTGCGAAATTTCACGAGGCCATCGTTGTTGCGATGTCATCATGCCTCGATAATAATTCTGATCATTAGCCATTTTCTCTTTCAAGCACGTATAATGATTCTGATATAGTTCAATCTCCTTTCTCGATGGGTAATAACCTTCTTAGACTGTAGCTGTGCAATTAAAGTTCTACTTTCCATACCGAAATATTATTTTTATGCTTCTAGGATTTTATTTTTAGGATTTTAGGATTTTATAGTCTTCCTAAATATTGTCAAAGACAGTTATGAAATATGATGCTTGTTTATGTACGATTTTTCGATTAATTTTTATCGTAATTTAATTACCCGATTGTTGTACAGCCGATCAAAGTATGGTTAAGATTAACTGACACGCTATACGTGACAGATCATGTCAAAAAAGTCGTCGCGACGTCTTTACTGTCTCTGAGAACCCTAGCTAGATCACTCAGTATCTTCTGTACTTTGATCACAGTCCCTGTCAAAGTTTTACTACATGTCTCTTCCAAAAAGACCCTTCACTCACCTACTCGTACTTGTGCTTATACACTACGCTATTCATCCCCTCTTTCTTCAGGCGACTACCCCATTCGTCATGAGCCTCTTCGCTTAGACCCCAGTGATGTGTCTACCGATATTAAGACGGGGTAAGTTTACGTTGATGGTGACTCTGATTTGATGGTGGTCTATATGGTCAGTACATCTGGGGAATATCCATTTCATGGGTTTTCTCAATTTCGACCATTAGGGGGAGACGCCGTGAACTTGATCCCTTTCGGTGCTTCTTTGACAAATGATCTTGGACAAATAAAATCACCCGTTGTTACACGCCTTCGTGGATGACAGAGATAAAAAAGATAATCAAGAACGATGATACATCCCGAGATTCACAACGGAGCAGCAATTTTATCAGGACAAACGTCCTAGTCGTTTCTCGAGATCCTTCGCGAGCAATTTTACGTTCGAAGAAAGATACAAACGCGACCTTGCTTGCGCAACTACTCTCTTCTTTGTATATTACGGATTTCCGCGTGGTGTAATCTAGTGACTGACAACTGGCGGCTTCGAAACGCGAAGAAGTGATTTCATTGTCATATATATATATGAGTATATTCGTCGAAATTCCCTATCAGTTATTTGATGTACACTTGGTACAATAGGTATACTACTATTTCGACTAACGACGAACTAACTATTAAAACGACGAAAATACTAATCGTGAAATGTTAAAAAGGAGTGGATTAAAAATTCAAGCTTATAAATGGGGAATAATTTTCGCGGATAAGCTAATATCCGTTGGTCAATCAGGGATCCCACGACGAAAATAGGACGAGATAGCTAAGTCTGGAATATCTACGAACTTGAATCATTCGTTTCCTTGGAAGCTCATCAAAGCTTAAAAACCTAGCAGCGGCGCTCCCACACGATAACTGGATGAACCCATCCTGCAGGATTTCGCAATTATTAATATCCCGGGAGATTTGCGAACTGCGCACGAGTGCAATTTTCGCTGTAAGAAAAAAAGAGGGGGAAAAGGTCCAGCGACGACGAAAGGAGTGCCTTTTTAAAGGCTGCCGCGTCTCTGAACCATAAATTTCATCCCATTAAACGTTGTCGCGAAAAAGGGAACGTTCTGTCGAGAATGCAGCGTCGAGGGACTCGCGGAATTTTTCGCGAAAAGACCGTGGCCACCCTTCTAAGGACCGTTCGCTCTCGGTCGCCGAACTTTTAACGAAATATAATTTATTAGAAACAATGGAGAGATTCGTGAATAGGGGTTCTGGTAATTTGGTCCCTTTCTGGCTCCATGTATTGTTCCCTTAACAATTGTACACTGTAAACGGGCAGAAATTGGGATATATTGGGTATCTGGGTCAGTTCTTGTTTATTTCCAATTTCGCGAAAATATTCGTCGCGGGTGCTTGGTATAATGACAAATGCCATTACCTTCTTTTTCTTTGGTGGGTGTATTAGCGTGTTTGAAATAATGGATAGTGTTTTCAAATTTTCTGCGTTGTCTTGGAAGAGTAGATTCGATTTTGTAAGTAGACACGAATATCTTCTTCGAAAAGATTTTCTCTGATGTCCAAATAAACTCCCATAGCTCATGAAACAATATTTTATATGACACTACAAGTGCCACTAGAATTACCTAGTCTAGGAATTAAAATACGAGATTAATTATAAAATATCGAATCTATGAATATAAAATGTATATGATATTTAAAAGCATTTAAAATATTATTAACCCACGATATTTTAGATATTTTAAACGGGAAATACGGAATTATGAGATATTACTTATTTGAAACCAGACGATGTATTTTCAGACCCAACTATGAGATTAAGGTAACGCGTATTTTTATATCCATTCATAAAAGCGAAGCAGCTCCATTTAGTAGTTGATCGAAGACTTTCGCGTAAACGAGGATGATACGAGCAGACGTCGATTCCCGTGACGGTAAGCCATTCAACCATCATTAGCCACGAGCCAAGATTAGGTTCCCTCGATGAGAGGAGCCAAATACGCGGTTGCCAGCCGTGTATGAACCGAATACGACGTTTGCGTGTTATTTGCCCGTTGGTGTGCGAGCTTGCGCCCGTGTCGCTGGAATCTGCGAGGACTCGAAGCCACTTGGAGTATCGGGGCATGGCGTGCACCCACCTTCGCGGCTCCGAAGTGTAATCGAAAGCTGTGGAACTGTGTGGTTCAGCGTAATCCTATTTTCCAGCGAGCTGCTTCGGTTAACTCGACGATCCGTCATGGTAGAGATCACTCGCCGATTTCGAGCATACCGACGCTGTTCGAGGACTTTCCGATCGACTGTCGTCGAGTGCTAGGTTACCAAAACGCAAAAGTGGCTCGTTGAAAAGCACAGTTTCGTGGGGACTCTTCCTTTCCACCGCAGAGTACGGGAATAGGGTTCGGCAAATGCGATATCTCGAGAGTGTGAAGACTGGCGTACGAGGGCCATTTTCTGTCGGAGGAGATCGAGGTAGATAGCGTTGGACATTACGATGGATTTCAGAGGAAGAACTAGGTATCTGCAGAGATAGAAGGTCCTATATTTTTTGGAAAAATCAAGTCAAATAATAGCTGAACGAGGTTATATCGCTATAACCTCTTATTTCTAATCATATCCCCATGGAAAAAATGATTGTATTTCGATGGATCTATTTTAGCTTTAATATCTAAAATATATACTATCCGCACTGATTATTCGATTTCACAGAAATATGTCAGAAGAACACGAAAATAGAGCTAAACTTTGAGAAGTATCTCGAAGTATGTTCCTAACTATAAATCGGTTAAGACAGATCATCGAACAGTAAGAACAGAGTAAAAATAAACGGTTAAGATTTCAAATAAGACAGGTCTGTGCTGATACGTGAGGCGATAATTTTAGACAATAAAATCAACAATCCAAGAATCCTGACGAACTGGTGAAAATGGAAGTAGGCCAGGCGATGGTAGAGGAACAAAAGAAAATTTCGGCACGGTCGAAGAATAATAAAGACTGTTTCTCTAATCTCGTGGAAGGCACTTTACACGCGAGTGACTGGGAAACGGTCTACGAAATGATATCGGGGCTCCATAGCGTCGGTTATGTCGCGGATCAGCGACGAGCTAGATAGGGGGCGCTTCGAAATTTTAGAACGGGAGCGCGCCGGTACGAGCAGCCTCGATTATCACGCTTTATACACCATATCAACGTGGTGTTATCGAGTTTGTCGGTTGTTACAACGTGACGAATCGGGTCGCCGGAATGTTCGATTAGCGAATAGCGTGCTAGACACCGGCACTACACACCATTCGAGATGTTATCGGGCATTCCAGTTTCACCGTTTTCCCAAATCGCTATAATTTTCCGAGTTCGTTGGGCACGCTTTGTGTCTTTGTGCACCGAAACTGTGGGGTTTGCGAATGGTTTTTAACAAAGTTTGCAGTACGACGATCGATACAACTAGAAAATAACAGAAACGGGATTTGAGGGTTGTTTTTTTATCACTGCTATGCAGTTTTATCGTTGTATTATTATTTATGTTATTTAAAACTGCTTTCCGTTTTCGTTTGAGATAATTTCACGATTCTAAAGTAGGAGATACGAATATTTTATCTATTATTTTCATTTCGATATTTTATGTTCGCGATAGTCGTTGTTTATCATCTGTTACGAATATTGCACGAAATAGTCGAAATTATGGGAATAATTCCCGGGGGTGCACTATCTTTAATCAGTGGTTACGATTTAGTGAGAAGTTCTTGTATCGAATTTGTAGTTTCGAGTAGAATAAATGTATATGGGAGAAGATGGTATCGCGGCATTGGTTGAAAGTGGAAGAAAGTGATATAAAAGGAAGTTAAACGATGCAACAAAGTTCTAGATCTTATTGCCACATTCTTTTTCCGGTAGAACGATACGTGTAACCCAGATCTGTAATATAGAATCTACCCTCTCTACTGCTAAAATTACGCTTTCAGATTTCCCGAGATTTCGCGAATACGGTCGGATAAGAAATTTCATTCTACGTTTCGGATCATAATTCTGTCACCTTCGAGCAATCCACTGGAACATATAAAAAATTAAAAAAAATTTTTAAATTATCCTGCGCTTTATCTTTTTATATTTTCGATATTCGTACCCGGATGAGAGTCAGTTTTTTAAGATACTGCACGAAAACAATTCTTATCTCTGTAATCTTACACGTATTTGCTCGCAAATAATTGCCGTGGAACAAGATATTTTAAATAAAACGAAAATCCTAGCCAACAGCTGATGATAGATCCATTTGACAATTGCGAGAGGGAAACACGTTATGCACCTGAAACTACACGGTATCGCGAAAAAGGAACAACCAATACACTGTGAAAATATTCGATTTCTCTGAATTCTTTTTTCCCCTCGGTTTCGGCAAAAGCTCGCGAGCAGAAATGAAATTGGAATTTAGGTAGAACCACGCAGGTCGAACTTTCGTGCGTCCCGTTCGTAAGTCTTCCAGAGATTTTCCGGTTTACTTTTTGAAGCGAAATGAGGAAAACTTTCGAATAGAAGCCGACGTGTTTTGTGACTACCGGTGGAAGTCGGGTGGAAGTTGGCAAAATTTTGTATTGCACCCGTGAAATTGCATTGGTTTTATATTTCCAAGGGGACCGCGCCTAAACTTTGGTACGCGATGTTTATGACTCGGTCGCGTTCGACGGGTTGAAATATCGTTTCCATACCTGATATTCCTTTATCTATAATCCGACGCTTCGCTGTCGGTTCGTTGAGTTTCGAAATAAATCAGGACGAAACTGCAGAACGACGAGAAAGCTGAGCGAGAAGCAGCGTAGCGTTTAAATGTCGTGCGAATGTGCGGAGGAAAATTTCACACAAATTGAAGATTAAAAATTACACAAATATCTTAGCATAGAGATATATCACCATGACAACTATACTGTAAACAAAAACACAGATACGATGGATCGTAAGTCACTACAACGGTAATTACTATAATTATAATTATAATTACAATACGTGTATTGAAATTACTCTAACAAGTAACTACGATATTCAGAGGTAGTTAAAAACTTTGGGAACAAAATATTCCATCTTAATCGCTAAAACTGGAAAGAAAAAGAAAACACGAAGAAGGAAGCTACTTCCAGTGGCTCAACTGAATTTTCTACATTACGCGTAATATAGAAGCAAGTTTCTCGAGAATTTTTCTTCATACCAGTATAAAGGAATATTATTTCCCGTGCTTTGAATAAACTCGGTCTTTCAACGAAACGCTTTCAGCCATCGAACACCATAGCTGTGCGCGAATTTTCTCTGGCCGCGGTGGAAAAATTCTAATCCGCGAATCCGATGTAGAAAAAGCTAGTATAGTAGAGAAAGCCTCTCTGAAGCCTGTAAATTGATGGAAAAGCTTCAGCCAGTCGGCCAACATCCGCAACTTTCTGACCCTTTGCCTATGTATAGCCGCTGAAGGTCACTGAACGCGAGCCTTCGACTTCCGTTTTACTTGGTCCGATTCGTTCAGCCAGTGGAACGATGGACGATTAGGCGGACGTAGCGACACCATGCAGAAGCGGAGGAAAGAGTGAGAGTGACACACACATAGAGAGAAAAAACGACCAAGAGTGAGATGCAGAGAGATACACAAAAGCCAGACGTCATCGCGCGAAATAACTCGCTGCTTTATTGTCGCACAGAAAAGTCTGGAAGAAAATGGAATTCATCGGCGAATGTCCCATGCATTCTCCGCGCAAATGCTATTCCGCAGATAGCATCCGGTCATTTGGGATCTCCGAAACATTTCCGAGCTCCTCGCCGAATGAGATTTGTTACCGTATCTGCATGTGAATTTTCTCTCGAAACCTTCGTCGAGCTCGAACGTGCGAAAAATTTAAAAAATCTTTACCGATGGTGATGTAAATATTCATATTATTTGCCAAACGCGCTGAAAGTTTGGTTGTTAACTTCCGACCCGACTTGCGAAGCTACGTTCGTGTTTCTTGTGTCGTTTATTGGTAACACGTGAGAAAATTATGCAAATGAATGATCGAGAGAACTGATGATTATTTTATCACTTTTCAAAATGATAAAATACAGGAACAACGCGATGAAAATAATATTTCTTATCAAAGAACGAATTTCATTCAACGTGGAATTATCCCGAGCTTCAACTTCTTGAATTACACGAAGAACGAATATCATTGGTTTCCGGAAATTTTTCTTACGATACTGTCACGAACGTTACATGCCCTCGTGCTAACCGAATTATCCTTTACGACCCTCCCGAAACCGGTACATTAAAATCACACGTCTCTGTTATCTTTCATTATCGAAATTCGTCCCCTGGAGTCGCAAGGACCCGTTCAAACATAACGAATGTTTAATCGTGGTCCCTGAATGTTGTTCCGTTTAAAAGTTGATATTACATTTCTGTGCGGCAACCTAGGAACGAGATATCTCAGACGAGCGGCCGCGTGTCCCATAATCGAGTATTATGCGTGAAATCAAATTTGCCGGGAATGAAAGGACGCGTACCTTGTAACCCAGATAGGCGAGCAGCAACGCCTCCGTAAGTGACACTATTGCAAGTATCACCTGGACGACCCACAATTCCAAGGGCCTCCTCACCCATAAAATCGCTTCCCAGTTGATGGTCGGATGTTCCTGAAATTCCTCCTCGGTCAGGTTCTGGGACACGAGGAACTCGGTTTTGTTGCCGGGCGTGCAATCGTAGCTGCAAAAAGAGATTTAACAAATTTTTTCTCCTCCACTTTTTCCCTTTTTGAAGTGGTTGATTAAGTTTCCAGGAACCCGGCGACAAAGCAAATTTTTTGAAAGCGTACAGTCAGAGGCCGATTAGTAGGACATTTTCGAAAGCACTATCCCGTGATGCCGGAGAAGTTGGTCACGGAGCGTCGTAATTGTGTTTGATTAATTACTGTCAAATTTCCGAAATTTGAAACGTAACCGACGAAGCTGAAGAAATGAATTTAGTCGGTTCAAACGGATATTAATTTTGTAGAATTTAAATATCGCTATTTTAATTGCTCCTATTAAGAATATAAAATGGTAAATTGGTATAGAGAGATACTCTCTGTGACACAATTCTCGCGTTAAACGAAGGTGTACGTTTGTCAAAATTAAAATACGGGGAATACGGGAAAATTTCGTAATTATTCGTTAATATAAATTATTAGTTTAGGAAGTAATTTGTATAGAATAGCATATGGGAAACGATGGCGGAAGAATAAAGAAGAAAATAAATAAATAGATAGGAACGTGAGAAAATATTACGCATGAGAAAATAGTAATTTGGACAGCACGAGAGACAGAAGTTAACAGGATGAAACTCCACAGGGAGCTAGAAATCCTTAAAGAGTATCGCGAGTGTTAGAATCTCAAGCAGGAAAACGGGTTATCGTTTCGGCCGCATATTCTTATCTCGGTTTCCTATCGCGATACTCGTTCCACAAAATATCATAATTTTTCATGAACAGTCGAATCCCAGTCGAAACGATTTTCCTAGACCTCGGAATGGAACTCTTTCGCGCCGTCGCAGTGAACCATTTTCAAGGAAGCAAGAACACAGAGACATATCAATTCTACTAAGAATTATACCTTGATAAATAATTCCATATCGTTTGGATTAAAGAATTGTCCGAATTAAAATGTCTAATTTAATCGAGTGAAGATACCAATAAAACAAAATAAAATAAAAAATAAAACAAAAGCTTAAACTTAATTGCAGGAAATATTCTAGATAAATAAAACTCACCATGCTGCGTAAGTTGGATCGCTGTCGGTGATGACTCTGAATATGTATAAGAAGCATGTCAGCAGCTTGAAGAACAGGTTGGCCAATCGTATCCTCAAACCTGGAACACAATCATAGCAACACGAGCAATTAGAAGATATCCAATCGCTGTATTTTTCGAAATTTCGCGTGAAAACTTCGAAAAGCTTCTGTGTGACACGGGATTTGCAGGAAACCTCTATTTCAACCCCCTGTTGCGCGATTTAAACGAATCCTTTCACGTGTCACGTCAACGCCACGCTGATAGGGTAAAGGTAGAAAGAAATCGGTAAAACGAATTTGTCACGGCTAAAGAATGCCTAGATGGAAAGGTATCGGTGCGCAGGATCTACAAAGAGCTGTTTTTAATCGTTCCATGTAACGCTGGAAAACATGGCGAGCCACATCGCACTGGCCGTAGACACGCGGATAGATGCGAACAATCGATACATGGCGAGATCTAGCTCGTGGTATCGGTTGCGTTACCTGCTGGTGCCGGCAGCTTCAGAAGATTATGTCTCGCTTCCAGACATCTGCACAGCTGCCTGTGTCACGGTGGCCCCCGTCACCGAAATTACGCTCTTGGCATGCAACGAGTGATCTCGTAATCTCTTTTGCCACCAGAAGATCTTTAAGATATAGACTATCGGCAGAGAAGATCGAATCTGTACCGAGCAATTGAGCAACGAGACCACCTACGTTGTAGGAGGTCCTACTAATGTAGGAGTATGGATTGACAAAAATGGAGAGATGTCAGATGGTAAATATATAAAAGTGCAGAGAAGAAAGAGAAGAAAGTATTAGCAAGTAAGAAACCATAGTCGCTCATGGTATGACAGTATATCGATTAATTCGCACCTCGCAATGACTCCTCTCTGCTGCTATACTCTAGTCGCTCTCACTTTGCCTACACTCTCACTCACTCCTGTGCCCGGAGAATAAATAAACCAGAGCACTGATACTAACTTTTGAAAGCAAAGAATTCCTGACAAGTCATTCACCCGAATTAGGTTATTACCTTATCGCGATGGTCATTAGCCTAGACTCCCACGTCGCGACCTCGTGAAAATATTTTCTTTCATCTTACTAATCTCCTCCCACGAACACGTGCGAATTAAATAAGAATAATTCCTACAGTATGTTTGGTTAAAAAGAGCTTTAGAGGTTTATTCATTCTCGTCGAGTCTTTTACCATGGACGACGTATGGCTTGAAGTTAGGGTACATGCGTCTGACATGTTGCGAGAACTCGTATGACACGAAATATTATCGCGAGGAAAAACATAGCAGGTCCTTTTCGTATTTTTCTGTAATTTAGGGCGACGAGTTTAGGAATTATAGCTAGACTAATCACCGGGGTTAGATCCATGACAAAAGATATCTCGCGTCGTGTGGTTGGTTATTAATGGCTGGTCGTGGACAGAGGTCGCGGAACGAGCAATTCAATAATGAAAATTTATGTTATATTTTCAGTTGCACCTTAATGAGACTAACGTGCTGATAATTGAGGAGGTAACTGTGCCAGTAAGGTTGCCAACGAAAAGAGGAAATGGTGCTAGATCCGTCGCTTTATGACATAAAAGTTACTCTTCCATACAGCCTGTGTGAAAAGGAAATTCGTGAAAAATGGCACGCGGCAGTGGTTATGTAAATCATTCGTACGACACTGTAATTTAAAAGGGAATCAATGTAAGATACTATATTAAACAGAGGGTCTAGCGAATTTTTATGAACGAAATAAATCTGGAAGGTTTTTCATTCGGGATACAATGGAGGAAAGGCTGGAACTAGGCTATTTTTTAAACTATTCCGACGATAGCCCGCTCGTGATCGATCAGTTTTAGATGTTCCGCATTGTGTTGCATGTAAAATGAAAAACATAACACGATTTGCGAGATGACATTGACACAATGGGTATATTCGTGTGCAGCGACATAACTTGGAAATCTGGCGTTAGATCGAAAGGTCTATTTAAAACTGCGACAGTGAACTCGGCCTGCAAATGACGGTATAAACTACTGCATGGCAGTTTCGCATGAAATGTATCAATGTATACGAATATGATGCACGAACTCACAAAACGACCTAAATCGAACTATCGAATTTGTTAAGCTCTCGTAACAAGCGAAATTTAATTCCGATCTAACAAATTCTGAATTTATTTATTTTTATCTCTCTGTATTTTTTTAATATAATGGATATTCGTATATTACCTATATTATATTACTATTATATATTACATTACATATATTACTTACTCGAACGTTGGTTTTTGATGAAGTACAGCTGAAGTCGTTCCTTGAACGTGTTTTCGTTCACGTAATACTCGACACGAACTCTGCAAGCAAGAAGAAATTGAAGTTACTACTTGATCTCTCATACGTTAAGTAATTGCAATTACTGGAAACAAATCCAAAGCATTGTGTACAGTGTCAAGATTGAAAATTTTTCAATTTCGTATGTGTTTGATGTTATAATCTCGGAATTATTAACGTCATCTTAGTCTGCTTTAGAACCTACGTACCCCCAATATTGATCTAAGAGTAAACTTGTACTGTATAATATTTCCACAGAAATTTATATCGTATCGTAACACGTGGCAATATTATTTGAATAATACAAGAGAACATTTATTTTAAAACCACCCAACAAATTCCCAAAATCCTTCGATTATCTCATTAATTTAATCTCTTAATAAAGTACTTCGCTGATCATTTTTCTATTTATTCTATTCAATTTTATTTTGCGTATTAAATAAATTAAGACACTTAAACGTCATTCGTAATAAAATATCCTTGAAGAATCATTATGTAATCACAGGCTAGATCCCGCGTGCAGCTGCACCCACCCTGCGATCCTAATATTACGAGTCGTATAACAGCGAATGGTTCCTTCGAGGATGCCAACTTTTCCAATTCAACTTCCACCTTTTCACAACTTGTCCCGCTAATCACGCGTCGAAATATCGTCGAACATGGAACAATGGCGGATTTCCCATGAAACGCATCCGCGTGGAAAGGTCCCGCGAGGCGGCCACCAGTTCTCGTTATTAAGTAACGTGGCTTCCATTGCCATTCGTTAGATCTGTGGCAGCTATAGTACCGTTACTACACCCCTGTCAGAGGAGACGGGTAAATTATGGCGTGTATTTTCCGTTCGTTCCTTTCATAACATTCCTACCTATATTCAAGACCCGTACGAGTCTTAATCATTGTCCTTTAAAACGTGTTTCCTGTCTTTAATGTTTCTTTCTGGGATTTGTCTGGGCCTGCTGGTTAATTTCAAGCCAGACCCAGTCAGGCTTCTTCACTGTCCATTCTATGACATATTTCTGTTGTCATTTGCGAATTTTCGATAGATCCTTCTATTGAAGATCTCAAGAGTTAGACTAATTTCGACAATACAGTGATAATTACCGAACAGTTTGTTTGTTAGACGATTTTACACAGCTTTAGACCTAACACTAGGTTCACAGGGCGCGCCATTTTGACGTATTCCAAATTTTTCCAAAAATAATCCCTACCAATATTATAAACCTTATAGTCTCATAATGTACAACTATGCTGCTTTTTAAATTACGTTTCTAAATAAAATTTCGTTCATGTGTTAAATAGACACGTGTCTCTAGAAATACATATACAAGAAATGTCAATGAACCTAATGTTAAGGTGGACTTTGAATATCCCAACAATGTCACATATGCACACCCGCGCTATAATTGTCATAATAAATAATCCAGAGAGAACATCCCTGTCAGATCAAAGTCAGCTCGCCGGCGAGAAGCTTGGCGTCACTTTGCAAACCGCGACCACCTAACCGATCTCATTGAACAACGAAATGATACATCGGATTGGCTATGTTTATCGATCCGATAACGTGTCTGGACTTTGTCGAGAATAGAGTGACGCGTCGTCATCGGCCAACAGTAGACAGACCGTTGGTCGTACGCGATGATTTCGAGTCGTTGAACTGGTTCTTTGACCCAGATAACGTGACGACAGAGCCACGACCTACGTCAAACCGACGGCCACTCTCACGGAACGGACTCTATGGCCGATCGTCGATCGGTGGATGCTCACGCGGGAACCTTTGTGTCTGGAGAGCGACGCGTCGCGACGCTGGCAGCACGGTGGTTGCGCTTTTGGACGCAATCGAGCGAGCAGGCATGTGAAAGGAACTTGACATTCTAGTCCGAGAGAGGTACATTTTTGTCCCCTCTATTCTGCCTGTCTTTCTTTCGTTAAATTGAACTTTTCAGAGAGTATTCTCTTATTAACTTTCGTGATATTGATCCTCTTTTGTTCTTCAGATTATTCCTTTGAGTACCTTTTGATTGTAATATTGTAATTTTGGCTTCCTAAATACACGGATATTGTGGAAAGAATTTTCGAGACTTCATTTACGCGTGGGGTAACAATTTTGAAGGATACGTGAGTAAATTAGTGCACAAATAATTCACGATTCGTTGCATTTATGGTAGAGAGGTTAGATGACAAATATACACAATTCTGATTTATTCGGTGGAGCAATTGCCGCAAGAGAGTTCCAGTTTTATTGCTTACCGCGTATTTCTCTGATTCAGGAAGGTATGACTGACACTTTGGAAGCCCTCAAAGGAGGTTCCGGTTCCAGTGAGAGCGTCCTCGAGTATTCGTCACGTAACATGGCGTTGTCGAGGACGCATGTGCCACGCTACCGTTGAAGCCTCGTGAGATTGAAGTACCAGGTGATAAGGATTTTTACGATCGCTTGATCCAGCATTCGTCGATACGTATCGGTGTACACGCGTAATTCAATTAGCCGACGAAAGTATCCCTAAACGGAAGCATCCCCCGTGTTAGATTCAATTTCGATATATGCTTCAACAGATTCAATTTCATCCAATCTCGAAGCGATCCACGGTGAGCTACGGTGCCTGGTGTCAAAATTTGAATAATTCATCAGGCAGCTGCACCTAAACAGCCTCACTCTCGACTAAACTCGCCATTTACAGAATTATGCAAACACTACCAGGCTACACGCTTAATCTCGCGCGTTTACTCCGTCCCGATGCGTTTCTGCATCGGTCCTTTCGACACCGTCGCTTTTGCCTATTTTCAGCGTCGTTATTCCGTGGTTTTTCCATACCAACGAGTATCGCAACTAGACACGAGAAACACCCACGGTGACTAGCGTCGTACCCCATGCTAATTACACCAAGAGCATCCGATAAGATCTACTCGCCCAGGGATGGGCGTGTCTAGCGTGGCAGAGTAGGCTAGAAAATACGCGAGGAAGAGAAACGGGAACGAATAGCGACGAATTTCGAACTACGTGATAGAAAATATCGTATACTATTTTTGAGAAATTAATTTTTATATTTCTATAGAGATAATTAATTTTCCGCGAAAGGAATATTAATCCGTTAAAGCGTCAACAACTGCATGACAGCTTGACCTGTTTCGTCTCCAGGAATAGACGTAAGCTAGGGTCCTTTAGGGTCAAGGAACTGGTCGCCAGGTAAACGTTAATTGATTCATATTGTTTGAATAATAGATTCTGATTATCGATGACTGTCACACGGTGTAGCTAGAGCTAGGAACACATGACCAACCTACCCCAGTAGGGGGCTGTACAAGGCATTC